GCATAGTACGGCACACCGCGCAGGTCGTTAAAATGACAATATAAATTCCCGCGCACCAGGCACATCTTCCTGACCATGGCATTTATGCTGGGTCATGAAAAACTAATTACAAGCCACGAACTTATTTACAAGGTTGCATGCACGTGGTACCCCAAATAACTAATTTTACCATAAAAACAGTCCAATTGTACAGCAAGTGTCAACTGAACATGTGTCATGTGATGATGCAGTCTGAACGCTCTAATGTAACCGCAACTACATTTTGTTTAAATTTTTTTGGCGGGAACTCATCGCAACCGATTTCCCGAAAAGCTTTACTGCATCCTGATCCATCCAACTTACCGGAAAGTGGAAACCTTACTTTTTTTCTAAATATTAAATGCAAGAATTACAATCTAAATGTGTTGGCAAGATCTTCTGAAGTCATAAATTTTGTTACTGAAGCGTCGTCAAAGATCTTGCAATATACATCCACTCATAGTCATACTAGTGACAAACCAGAAATTTTTTAGCATCAGTTTATTTCTAATTTCCTCATTTATTCAAGATTTAAACCAATTTCTTATGATGATAATGCTGGTATCCATGATACTTTGCTGGTCTACTTATAGGAGTCAAAAATGAACTTGAGGGAGAGTCTAAAAAACTTTCTGCTTTGCCACTATGCAGTGATGATCCACTCTCTGCACAGTGGTTCCCAACAGGCTGACACAGCACACAGGTACTAACTTTTTGTACATGCGCAGAATTACCCCAGAGCTAGAAAAGTCCTATTTTTGTCTGAAATATTGCAGCTCTAATATCATATAATTTCAGCAGGCATGATTTATTTATTATTTATTACTATGAAATCTCATGGCTTGAATGACATAAATTTTTGTTCGATTGAAAAATTGCGGTTTGCACTTCGCAAACATGTCATTTCATAAAATTTTCAACTTGCGCAATCCGGATTGGCATTGCTTTACCATTCCTGCCAAAATATCTTGCAGAAAAAACATAAACATTGTAATGTAAACAAATCAACTAAACGTTTTGTTGAAGATCGCGCATAGTTGCGGTCATGTCAAAGCGGTCAGACTGCATTAAAATGTGCTCAACTTACAGTAAAGACAAATTTTATTGTTGCAGTTTGACTGTTTTAGGGTAAAATTAGAGATTTGGGGTAACACGTGCATGGACTTTGTAAATAAATTTGCGCACCGTAAATGGCTTTTCATGGCCAAGATATGGCATTCACGGCTTGGTGAAATGGAATCACGGCTGGCAAATCCATAAAACCATGGCTCAAAAAATTCAGTCACGGTGTAGCAGTTTGACTATTGTTATGCGGGTGTGATGAACTCGTCGTCAGCTTGTTTTTGTCTATTGCAGCTACTTAGATTATGGGGAATTAAAGTTGGTGTTTTCTAAGTTTTATTAAACAAAGTTAAAACAAGTTACATAGTTTATTACATGGGATCAGCAGCTTATGAGAGACGTCAAGGATCGTGCCAAATGAGTGGTTAAGAAATTGCGAATTGTGGGGACAAGAAGTAGTAAAGAATTAGCGAATAAGAGGAACATGAATAGTTCAGAATTTAGCAAATAGGAGGAACATGGAGTAGTAAAGAATTTGAGACTAGAGAGGAACATGAGTAGTCCAGAATTAGCAAATTATGGCAGATGAGTGCGGACTGCTGACTTAGGAGGAATATCTATATTCAACCACGAAATTGGTTAATTCTCTTGGAATATAATGTATCACTTCCACTGTAGAAGTGATAGTACATTATATTTCAAAAGAATCAACCAATTCCATGGTTGAATATAGCCTATTCCTCCTAAATTGGCAGTCCACACTCATCTGCCATCCAAAAATGCCATTCTGCCATTATGATTCTGTGCATGTACAAAAATTTTCCCACAAAAAATGCGAAAGTTCCACTATTCCACAGAACTAAAAATGATGTTGCATGATGATGCGAGGCCAACATACACAGGACAGTTTTCATAGTGAGCTCATAACCTTTGTTGTGCTGGATCATACTTCAGGAACTGTTTACAATTTCTAAAACATGGATGGCAAATTGGCAATGCTTTTGCATAATAGATTACACATTTATGCAAGATACAAAAAAAAACAATAAATAAAGACTGGAAATATTATTTAGCATTTTATTGATCCTTTAATGATTGTTCAAATTTGCACAGTAAAATAAAATTATGCTGACCTAATATGCCTAGAGACCTAGAGTAATATATGTAAGTCATATAGGGTAAACACACCATATTCCGACACTGGGTAATTCCAACACCCCTCAACTTTTTCCTTTATATTAAGCTTGGCCTTAGTTCCACGCATGCATAGATGGTTGAAATAGTGACGTCATACTATTGTGCGCCAGATTTCCACAAAAAACTAGGTCTAGCGGCAAAATATTAAGATCCACAGAGCAAAATCCAAGTCAACTAGTGAGAACATCAAATCACTTATGAAAGTTGATAGTTGAGCTTGCTTTACTAAATAGTGATATACTGTTTGTGTAGAAAGGATATTAAGGTTTGAGACTTTTAAATAAGTCTGTGAATATATTAGTATTAGGCATAGTGGCAAACCAGTGATTTTTTGGAGTCCATTCATTTTTAATTTCCTCATTTACTCCATATTTAATCCATATTTAAACCCATTTCTTATACATGATAATGCTGGTATCCATGATACTTTACTGGTCTACTTATAGTACTAAAAAAACTCTCTGCTTTGCCACTATGATTATTAGGAATCCTTTAAGTATACTTGTATTTACTGATTTTAAGTGGTAAATAAATTAATAGATGATTGATTTAAGAGACGGTTTTAGACACATGAAAACTAATTCCGACACAGGGTGTTGGAATTATGACACACAGGGCGTCGTTTACTGTCATATTCCGAAGCAGCTCACACAGAATGTCGGAATTACAAATTACGATTTTGAAGCGCTGTCGGAATTAGTCTCACAATATGCCGTGATTAGTCACACACAGTGTCGGAATTCAGCGATTTTGTAGATTTGAATTCTAAAGGCTTTTAAATAAATATGGCAATAGTTTATGACGTTTCATCATTGCTAACGCTGCGGCGCATAGTGTGGTGTTTTGAGAGTGACGTAAACCAATCAGAACTCAAGTTGCGCATACAGTGATCTATTTATAGCCATTTATTTCTTTGTTGATTGTCCTTAAGGTGTCAGAATATGGTGTGTTTACCCTACAGTAGTTAAGATGGGATCAATCAATTGAATTAATTGATCAATTTATAAATCAATGATCAATGGTTTAGCTTAAATTTAATTTATATTCAAATTCAAAGATGAAATATAAACTCGTATCTATGCTAGCGTAATAAGCGTTTTAAAATTTGTTGTATTCGTTGACTGTGAAGTGAAATATAATTGGAATATATGGTTATTTTATAGAATGCCAACTATAAGGCAGAAAAAATTACAAGGTCACGTTTTCCCTTGATGCAATTAAAATCTCTTCATTTGGTGCAGCTCCAGTGTCTTGCCACTTTGACAGCTTGAAGCTTCATCTTTATGTACTCACATTTGCGGTTTCATTAATTTATTTTCAGTCAAATTAGTGATCAGACAATTGTGCTACGTAACCCACATTATTATTCATTTCCCCTTTTTGCCCAAATGGGTGATACTTTGACAATGATTACAAATGATGCATTAACCCTATACTGCCGAATGTCACTGTTCTCCAGGAACATAACTTTCAACTTAAATTATATGTGCTCACAAGAACATTTTCTTTTTGGGTAGTAGGCTTGTGCCAGTGCCATTATTGCTCTGGTCACTAATGACGGTAGAGGGTTAATATAATTTTCATAGCCCATGAAACTTTCAAGTTAACATTTTACTCAAAATCTGACAGTGATTGATGATAATAAATTTTTGAGTAAGGTCAGTTTCACTAAAGAAAGTAGGAGCCTATTTTTACAACACTTCTCTTTAACTTCACTTCTTGTTTGTTTGTCTGTCTGCTACAAATCTTATAATCAATATTTGACACACTTCTACATGTCTGGTTGATCTGAAATTTTGCACACTTACATAAAGTTGGAGACTATGCATGAATCAATTGACAGAATAAATAATTTTAAAAATTAAAAGAAAAATATCAATATTAAAAAAATTGAAAAATAATTTTGTCTACTGCAAATCTTATAAACCATATTTTACACACTCTACCTGTCCAATTGATCTGAAATTTAGCACACTTGCAAAAAGTCAGAGGCAATGCATGAATCAGTTGATAGAATAAATAATTTTGAAAATATACCTACAAAATTCTTGAATGTTAAACAAAAATTGAAAACTACATAATTTTTTAATGTTTAAAAATAAAATTAAAAATTCATTGTACATTTGTAACATCACAGACACTGAATTCTTTAGAAGTGTTGTCTTTAAAAAGTAATTTTTAAATGCATATTTACAACCCTTCTCTTTAACTTATCTCTCATTCTGACAGAGATCAGGCTGGTGGATGCATTTGTTGCCACAAGTCTTAACCTCAACTTTAATTTAACTTATCTTCTTGTTGTTTGTTTGTCTGTCTGCTACAAATCTTATAATCAAAATTCAACACACTTTCACTTGTCCTACCAATATATCCTAGCCATGATATTTCAGAAAAAATAGAACTTTTCCAGCCCTGACTAATTCCAAGCCCTTCAAGTTCCAGCCCTAGTAGGTCTTGAAATTCTTTGACAACCATTTATTTGCACATACGAACTAACTGGAAAACTGGGGAGAAGGCTGAGAAGCCACCTATGAATTGGACAAAATTTACCCATGAATCAAGCCAATTTCACCTTTTCCTGTTGTTCCTTTCCAATTTCTTTAATAAATAATTGAGAAAATGGCCTATTTTCCCCCAACAATAATCACAAATTACTGTGAAACCATTGTTTTACCTTCTATTTTAGGAAAATTATGGTTAATACTTCAGATTTGTTATTTGCAGGTAAATTTATGGGAACCAAATGCACAAGATCTAAAATCCCTATATCATTGAAATTGCTGAAAATAAATCTGGATAAATGGTTTCACTACGGTCTGGAAACAATACTAAAGATTCAGCTACTAGTAGTAGTACTAGTAGTAGTAACAGTGCTGGAGTAAAAGCATCCCAAAAGGAGACTTCAAGAAGCCTACACACTGACAAGGTGAAAAATAATCTATGAATAGTTTCTTAATTATTCATAACATTCTTAATTTACTACTGATTTACAGTTACATATTTACTGACAGACTGACCTTAAATTTTGCAAAACATAATATAAAAATCTAAATATATTCAAATATCCTCTGAAAAATCTTCATTCCCTATTATAGTGTTGTTTGTCTCTTAAACATACTTTGTGTTACAGATGAAATATGTGATATTCATCAGCTTGGTCCTGGACCTTCTTGGGTTTACTGTAATTCTGCCGCTATTTCCTGCATTGCTGGATTACTACAGCAAGCACGACTCCAGTGGTCTTTATGATACTCTTTTGAGTGGTGTCAGCCGCTTCCAGTCAGGATTGGGAGTGCCAGAGAGGTTCAACAGTGTTCTTTTTGGTGGTGAGAATGAATTATTGAAAATAGATTGAGTAATTTCTTTTTATGCTGTCTATATTAAGATTCTACCCAAATCTTAAATCACTGTTTATCACTTATTACTAGTAACTATGATTTGAAAAATGGAAACTTGGTATTTAATTATTTATGCTTCAAAGTCACTTATTAAGGTTGAATTTTAAATCTTGCAGTTCAGTTATACAGTATTATTAAAATTCCAGTCATTGCTTGGAAAGTAGATATATTCCATGCCTGTTGTCCCCAAAAATGTTGCTATTCCATTGACCCATGTGTTTTTTTGTCATTAGTTGATATTAAACTCATTCAACTCACCCTTGTTTATTCAATTAATTTCATTTTTTGTATAGATAAAATGACGTAAAACATTTCAGACATACATTTTATTGTGTATCAATCTTATTAATGAATTTAACCATGTTAAATAATGCTACCAGAAATATTTTACGTTACTACTGTGTTCATAAAATAGTTGATTCATATGAGAGCTGAGTTCTGTAGCAAATCATTTGTTATTGATTTTTGCCCTCTCTTCAAAGTATGGTAGAATCAACATTAGTGAATAAAGCAATATCCAATGAAGATTATAAACTATTAGTATTATAGTTCTATTTACAGGTATACAAGTTTGATTTACATATGCCAAACTTTTATAACAATAATACTTGTATAACTTGTACAGTACCCTATATGTTTAGGAACATGATGCAGTCACGACATACCTAACTCGAATTTCTCAATTTTTTCTCTAAACAAGTTTGATTAAACAATATTTTTGGAGCACTAAACATGCTATAGGTACTTCTATTTTTGTAACTTTTTCAAGTTTGTGGAGTTATCAGTAACAATAATTATTCATAAAAAGGACTGATAAATAAAAATGACTTGTGTAGTAAAAAATTTATTTACTTTGCAGGAGTGCTGGGTTCTCTCTTCTCATTGCTGCAGTTCCTCTCATCTCCACTCACCGGTGCTCTCTCCGATGTCTATGGCAGAAAGCCTGTCCTTATTGCCACTCTGGTAAGTCAAATATTGCCTTTTTAGTGCATTTTCTCATTTATGGAGAAAACGCACTAATGTGCTCGCCATGTTCGTCTGTCTGTCTGTGTCTGTCCGTCCGTGACCTCAAGTTTTCGTCAACGAGAAAATGCGCTCTCTGCAGTGAGTACTGAGTTATATTTTTTAAAACTATTTTCTTTGATGAGAAATTGATTTAAATAGGGTCTTGGTCCATGTTAGTTCTGCAATATCATTACTGGTAGCTGCTTGATGCTAAGAATGAAAAAAATTATTATCTTTGAAAGATGAAAGTTGAACTGCTTCTATGCTGCATTATTAGGACTGGTCTATATTTGAATGGAGGAAATGATACTTTCAATGAAACATGAAACTTATTCACTGGAATCTATGTTACATAAGTTACAGGAGAAATAGTAAATTTAATTTGTAACACATTATATACAGGCTGGTGTTGCTGCATCTTATGCAGTTTGGGCGGTGGCTAGCAGTTTTACTGTTTTTGTTTTGGCCCGCGTGCTGGGAGGCCTTAGTAAAGGCAACGTCTCTCTCTCATACAGCATCATGACTGACATCCTCGACACTAGCACCAGAGCTGGAGGCATGGTGAGTCAATTTATGTAGCGGTATTTTGTAAGAATTTATAGAAATTGAAATTTCTTCTGTGTTACAACAATAATTGTAGAATAGTTTGTTGTTTTTAGATTTTAATAAGGTCAGCCTTGCTTTCTTTGCATCATTGGGTTAGCTTATGAATGGAAGAAACTCGGGCTTTATTTTGATGTTAAAAGTTAGTTTAATGTAATGATTGGTATCAATCAAGCTTTTAGTCTGTCACATCATTTGTGTTATTGTAAAAAACTTTGTAAATATATATATTTGCTCCCTCAAAAATGTATTGTTTGTTTGCTCTCTGTCTTCCTAAATTCTTGAAATTATTTTTCATTTGAACAAGGATTTATGTGGCATTAAACAATTTTGCTGTTACTTCTATGCACAGTATCTTTAGTCAGAAAGTCATTTAAAAACATTGAAGCTATTTCCTCTAACACGCATTGATTGGCGTCGCCTTAGCATTGGTTTCATTGTACAATATTTTTGCTATTCTTTGTATGCATGGTATCTTTAGTCAGAAAGTCATTTAAAAACATTGAAAGTATTTATTCTAACAGGCACTGATTGGCGTCGCCTTCAGCATTGGTTTCATCGTAGGACCAGGTGTTGGCGCTATGTTCTCAAAGTGGGGAACCAGCGGCTGGTTTGCTGCAAGTGCAATATATGCCTTTGTCCTCACCATCCTTAACATCCTTTATGTCTGTATCTACTTCAAGGAAACTCTTCCAAAAGTAGGTCCCTTGTAGTGACTGATTAAATGTATTTAATGTCTATTAGAAATGTCTTGTACAAAAAATTATCCTAATATCATCAGCCGTTCTATTTGAAAAGTAAAGAATAATTATACTTTACTCTTTGTTTTAATTATTTGATTATAATTATTTATTATTAAACACGTTGTGAATTATTAATTAAATCACAATTAATGTCCAGAATTGTTGACGTGTTCCCCAGAATTAAACACGTTGTGAATTATTAATTATTTCACAATCACCAGAATTGTTGACGTGTTTCCTCAGAATTAAACACGTTGTGAATTATTGATTAATACACAATTAATCCCCAGAATTGTTGATGTGTTCCCCAGAATTAAACACGTTGTGAATTATTAATTAATTCACAATTAATCCCCAGAATTGTTGACGTGTTCCCCAGAATTAAACACGTTGTGAATTAATAATTAATACACAATTAATCCCCAGAATTGTTGACGTGTTCCCCAGAATTAAACACGTTGTGAATTATTAATTAATTCACAATTAATCACCAGAATTGTTGACGTGTTCCCCAGGGCCTGGTGGTGATGATCCCTGGCTTTGCTCTGGTGGGCTGGAGCTCAGGACCCGTCATGCTCTACGCTGGACTCACACTTTATGCTTTAGGTAAACATTTTGTGTTTAGTATACCGGTAATAACATTCCCTGTATGATATCGTATGTTTAAGGTAAACATTTTGTATTTAATATAATAATATTCCCTGTATGTTACTGTATGTTTAAGGTAAACATTTTGCGTTTAATATAATAACATTCCCTGTATGATATCGTATGTTTAAGGTAAACATTTTTTGTTTAGTATAATAACATTCCCTGTATGATATCGTATGTTTAAGGTAAACATTTTGTGTTTAATATACCGGTAATAACATTCCCTGTATGATATCGTATGTTTAAGGTAAACATTTTGTGTTTAGTATAACATTCCCTGGATGTTATTGTATGTGTTGTTATGTATGTGTATTGTGGCAGACATTTGTACTACTGCCTTTATATGCCTTTGGTTTAATAACATTCCCTGTATGATTTTGTATGTGTTGTTATGTATGTGTATTGTGTTAGACATTATTATGTTATTATGTATGTGTATTGTGGCAGACATTTGTACTGCCTTTATATGCCTTTGGTATAATAACATTCCCTGTATGATATTGTATGTGTTGTTATGTATGTGTATTGTGGCAGACATTTGTACTGCCTTTATATGCCTTTGGTTTAATAATATTCCCTGTATGATATTGTATGTTTAAGGTAGACATCTGTACTGCCTTTATATACATTTTGTGTATTAACATTATCTGTATATTTTTTTTAGCGACGCAACTGTTTATACATGATAAATACTGGAGCTATTTCTCTTTAGCCATTTGTGCTGATTTATTTATTAATTAATTTATTTATTTGTGCTGATAAATGCTTTTAGCTACATGACCTACATATCTATAATTTTTTAACAATGAGGATTCAGTTTCTCATTTTTTTAAACAATTTTCACAAATATTGAAGGAATTTCTCTTCAGTCTTCCTGATGTGATATAGTTCCGAAAAGGCTGAAAATAAAATAATAAAGCGAGATTATCCAAGCCGTGAACTAGCAACACTTGTAGTAGCTGATTATAACTGATGGAACCATTCAGTGGTTGCATCTCATCAGCAAGTGTAATGACATGTGATCTTGTGTGGTGCACGTCTAGTTGTGGTCTTTTGGAGTTCTGGAAATATGCTTAGAAATTAATTTCATCATTCCTTCAGCCCATTTTAATGGTTCGTCTCAAATGCCGCCAATGTCAGATGAAATTAGCAAAAATTCATGTGTGTAATGATTGAAGTATCATTATATANCAGTCTGCCTGATATATTTATCAGTCATGTCTTCATCAGTCTGCCTGATATATTTATCAGTCATTCTTCATCAGTCTGACTGATATATTTATCAGTCATGTCTTCATCAGTCTGCCTGATATATTTATCAGTCATGTCTTCCTCGGTCTATCTGATATATTTATCAGTCATGTCTTCTTCAGTCTGACTGATATATTTATCAGTCATGTCTTTATCATTCTGACCGATATATTTATCAGTCATGTCTTCTTCAGTCTGATATATTTATCAGTCATGTCTTCATCAGTCCGCCTGATATATTTATCAGTCATGTCTTCATCAGTCTGCCTGATATATTTATCAGTCATGTCTTCATCAGTCTGCCTGGTATATTTATCAGTCATGTCTTCATCAGTCTGCCTGGTATATTTATCAGTCATTCTTCATCAGTCTGCCTGATATCTGTCTCTTATACACATCTAGATGTGTATAAGAGACAGATATTTATCAGTCATGTCTTTATCAGTCTGCCTGATATATTTATCAGTCATGTCTTCATCAGTCTGCCTTATTTATTTATCATCATGTCTTCCTATCGTAGTTATTGAAAGGTTTTGGTTTTGAATTCTCATTGACATCTCATTAGTTACTCGTGTCACAAATTTGTGTTGTATGAACTAAGTTCTTGAGTGTTTCCAGACATTGATAATGTTTTTCTTTTGATGAATTGTTGATAAAATTTGGTGATTGTATTGCTTATGTTTCATAACTATGGTAATGGCTTTTATTTATTAATCGGTTTTAGCTTTATTTATTTCTCTTCTGTGGCTGTTGCATGCCAATAAAGATTAGATATTACATTATCAAAGTCATATTTACAAGCATAATTTGCTTTGAGTGTGGTAAAAAATGTATTCTGTTGTGAATAATATGAATCAATAAAATCAATTCAACACAATCAATAAATCAAGGCATGTGTTCATTGAATTTTTACGTCAATGACATGCATTGTAATTTTAAAGTACCAATTTTGTTCCACTAAAATTCAATTCCCAAGTCTTTCCATACTTACTTTTTCTTCAAACTTTAAGCATATTTTTAACACTATAAAATTTATTTAAAATTTAGAATAAAGTATTGAAATAAATAATTCAATAATTAGAATATTCTCCATTATTATAAGGACGCATTTTCCACTCGAGCATTCCCCGTTGTTATAGTAATAGTATTATGTAATAATACTATGTATTTTATGTAATAGTATTTATTCGTAGTGAAATCACGGGCGTTGAGGTTTACACTAAGCTTAAGCTATTAAGTTCATTTTAATGTGGCCAGTCTTCTGTAGAAAAGAAGATTTTAGTGGCGTTATTGATGTTGTGATGTTAAAAACTTGTGGTAATATATTTTTTCTATATATGTGGTAATGTGGGAGACGTTGAACATTTTTAACTTTAATAATATTGATAAAGATTAGTGACTGAAGAAGTTGCGTGTAGGAAATACAACTGTTAGTTTCAAGTTGAAATTTTATATTGATGAAAACTTGTGGTAATATATTTTTTCTATATATGTGGTAATGTGGGAGACGTTGAACATTTTTTACTTTGATAATATTGATAAAGATTAGTGACTGAAGAAGTTGCGTGTAGAAAATACAACTGTTATTAGTTTTCAAGTTGAAATTTTACATTGAAGAAAATTTGTGGTTGATACTAATTCGGGCACGTTTATAGATATGATAGCTTTTAGTGTAATAATTAGAATTTCAATCATTTCTTCCATTCATATGAATTCCTAATGGATATGATCGACATTTTTAGCGCATTTTCTCATTTATGGAGAAAATGCGCTATTGTGCTCGCCACGTCCGTCTGTCTGTCCGTCTGTCCGTGACTTCACGTTTTCGTCGACGAGAAAATGTCCTCTCTGTCACTCACTGCAGTGAGTACTGAGTTATATTTTTTACGCTTCTGCATTTAAGATTCGTTTATGCAGTGTATTTTAGTGAGAATTCAATCAGTTATAGAGTTTCTTGTTGAGATTCTTAACGCTTATTTTATGTCTCAGCACGGTTATAACTATTTCGCGTTTCGATTTTGGTCACCTTTCTAAAATAACTTTCCAGTTATCAACGTCTGTAAATCAGCCGTTATAGGATTAAATCTAGGTTAACGTGAATATTTAAGAATATTTTATTTAATAATATTTTTATACCGAACTTTCACCCTAACTGATAATCTCAGTGCCTTGAAACTTGTGGATTCGCCTGAGGGCGTTGGCTTTTATGGCCGACACTGCTAGCCAAATTTTCTTCTGGAGATTATGATATATATTAGGTAATAATGATACATTGTTTCATTATGATGCTCTAACAATCTCATTTAGTTTGGATATGACTGCGATATTAATTTATATATTTATACAAACCTACAATATGGTTGAAAATCGATGTCAAAAATAATCTCGTTTAGTTTTCAAATGACAGAAATATTTATTTATACAAAAGTACAATATAGTTGAAAACCGATGTCACAAAATAAGGCATTTTCTTATTTTCATAGTGCCCATGGTTGTTGTCTGTCGTGTGCCGTTGTTGTTGTCTGTCATGTGCCGTTTTGTTTGTTATTTAAATATACGTTAACATGGAGCAGATTGCAACAGTAATGAGCCAAATAAATGACCAAGACCGAACTTGTTGTCCTAAACCAGCGTTGTCGGGCACTATGTTAACGACTAGACCTTACTGAACAACGAGCTGCATTTTCATGTCACAAAGATGACCGTCATTTTTCATGTCACAAATATGACCATCATAGTGTTATGTGAGCGTTTATGTTACACCTTGTCGGTTTAGTCTGACACGCGATGTAGGGAGACGTCAATCTTAAGAAGTTGTTGTTGTGGTTCCCCGGTTTCTCTTTTACAAGAGACCTACATGAAGAAGTAGTTGATTTAATCAACAGCCTAAATTTTGAACTCGTTCTCAAGAATATTCTATGAGGGCCTAAATTTCTGTCTGCTGGCTTCTGTCATTTCTGTCTGTGGCACTGTCTGCTGTCGTATGTAAGCGAACTGTATCATCATCAGTTTTCATTGCTTTCAAGTTTTTAGTGAATTTGCGATTTAAGCTCTTTTTTGAATTCAAGATTAAAAAAGTTTATCGTGCTCTTATTCACAGCGTCTCCTGTTTGGACGACATTTTAGTTGAAATATTCAGGGACGGTAACGTAACTGGAGGGCTCACGAGGACGTGTGAAATGAATGATAATAGTGAAATTTGAGTTAACGCTTTCTTGGGGGACTTTAAAAGAATAAAAATTAAAGTAAAAAGAACATGTTGAATGTTGAAGAAGCATTTCTTGGGGACTTTAAAACCAAAAAATGTTAAAAAATGTGTTGAATGTTGAAAAAACACTGGAATGTTTTACTGTCTAGCTTGATCTTTATCTCATAATCAAATTTAGTAGACGCTAGTTTCAAGTTCCATTGCTTATATAAATAACGGTATTGTTAACTTATTTTTTATGTAGACAAAAAAATATTTTATCATTGTTAAAAATTGATCTATTTACGATGCAACTAACTATCATTGTTAAATTTGTGACCTTTGTATCATTGTAGAACCAACAACAGTAATAAGCGTTCATTAGGACTTGACATATTGAAGAAATATTTGACTCTGAAACCCTAACGTTAATTGCAATAAACTTGGTTAAATCGAACTAATTCGTAACCCTCCGCTTACGGAGTTTAGATTTACTTTTGAAAATGTAAGAACTTTAGTTTTCAGTCTCGTTTCATACCATTCATTTGTTTCCAATTCTTTTTAAATAATTTGAAAACCTTTCAATATTATAATTAATTTATTTAGCATCTTGAAACAACTTACATTAATGAAGTTTCTCATCAATCCATATTTGAAAAATACCTATATTTAAGGCCTGAATAATGCCTTTCAAACTTATTTCAAATGATATGGAATAATTTTTATGATTTTAATATCGTGATGACAGTTTTTATTAGGCAATGTTGGTCTTCTGCACCTGGTCACTCTGCTGATATCGACTAGAATTTTCACAACTGAATGCGAGTTTCGAACCCTTGACTCGATGCTCTTGACTTCATTATTTTAAAAATTTCTTTTCGATGCTCTTTTTTTAACTTTAAGATTTAACTTAACTCATCCTTGACTTCATTATTTTAAAAATTTCTTTTCGATGCTCTTTTTTTAACTTTAACATTTAACTTAACTTATCGTCGACTTCATTATACCTTTCAATCACCTCGAACATGAAGATGAAGCGAATATATTCACAGGTTCATGTAAAGGGTAACGAAACACTGGGATTTTCACTATAAATATTCACATTTAATAAAATGGCGGTTAAAAAGTGTGTATATCACAGTAGTTAATACAATATAATTATGAAAATACGTTGAATATGCAGAAAGAACTTATAAAAATTCATGGTGTCAGTTTTGATTAGGTAATGTTGGTCTGGAGGCGAGTCTTCTGCACCCGGTCACTTTGCTGATATCGACTAGAATTTTCACAACTGACTGCGGGTTTCGAACCCTTGAATCGATGCTCTTGACTTCATAACATTAACCTTTCGGTCACTTCGAACTTGGGAGATGAAGCGAATATATTCACACGTTCATGTAAACTTGTAAAGGGTAACGAAACATTAGGATTTTTATTATAAATATTCGTATTCAATAGAATAGCGGTTAAAAAGTGAGGATATCACAGTAATTAATACAATATAATGATGAAAATACGTTGAATATGCAGAAAGAACTTATAAAAAACAGTTAAGATGCAATAAAATGAATACCAATGCCTAATATCTAGTATTAAACAAGAAGATCTATATATTTCAGCGAGTATATAATAAATTATTAATGAAATGATATCGTTACACACATGCAAAATAATTCATAGAAAATGTAGGAAAAACGCGCAGCAAAACCTCGCGTTTGAAACAAAATGAACAACAATAGACGAGTTCAAATGATATTCCTACGAAAAATGATAATCATTTACCCTGCTATCAACAGAAGAAAAATTCGCATTACTATTCTCGAGACCCTGCCTCGTCTTTAACTGTACAGTTTTTGTATATAGTTTACGATATTTAACATCTGGAACTCGAATAAACGTCCTGAAATACCCGTACATGCACAAGGACTCTAATATTACTTTCATCAATACAAGCGAGTTTCAACAGTTTTTCAAGTTTTCTAAAATTTCCTTTTCAATTACCCTTTTCAATCAATACAAGCGATGAATAATCTAGTGAATTAACAGTGAATTTCGTAGCAGGACAGAATTATAATTCGTAATGAAGTGCAATTTAATAAAACATTTAGTTATTAGTGTAGAGGTACCGTATTCTTGATATGAGTGACAGATACCATGTTATCTATTAATCTACTGTCAGACAAATGAATGGGTCATCATGTACAAATAGTGACACAGTTTCTTAAATACATCACGAGCAGAGAGTGAACATAGAACTGATCTGTTCTTTTGCAGGGCCAAACTGGGTCAAGATGACCCACACACGGGCAAAAAGTGAGCCGATATTTGGACAAAGTTTCGCTTATTTCTCTGAGTGATTTGAGTGATTATTAGTACGCAAAATTATTATTTATTATTATTAAAATTAAACAAAGATTATTATGCAAAAATGTTTGATTCCGTCCGTTCGTTAAATTCAATTCTATAGAACGACTTACTGTATAAAAATAATGAGTTTCACACATGGACAAGAACCGTAAACAATGTTATTTGTAGTTGAGCATTTTGCAACATACGTCACAATAGAATGATGCACATCACAATAAAATGATGTACAGGTCAGATGATATGACTGCTTAGAGATTAAGGAATATTTCTTTGGGTATTCTATTTCTTTTGGCATTTCTTTGGGTATTCAGAATACCGTATATAATTCAGTTATGCTGAATAGATCTGAATATAAGGCAATAAAATACCTATAGTATTCGGAGAGATAAATATCTGAAAAAATTCATACAGAATCAAATAAAAGATTCGTAACAAAGGAATAGCGAAACAACCTTAAAATTAGTTGATAATAATATAAGAAACGATAAAAGTTTGAGATTTGCTCGTGATATTTCGTTCAACCGAAATGATCAGTTGATTTTTTTATAAATAACGTAAAATTTGCTATCAGCTCGACGGCTGAGAACTTGTTTGTTTCTTCAAGTTTCGCCGGCGGCTCAGTTGCAAATTTCGCCAGCTATAATTTATTTCGCCAGGCAAATTTTCAATTTCGCCAGCCATAATTTATTTCGCCAGGCATAGTTGTCTGTTATGAGGCATATTCAGGGCTAGCCTCAACAACTACAGCAACTTGGGGCTCACGTAAGTAAAAAAGATACGTAGATAAAATTTCATTTCATATAATAACTAATAACTTAAGAGGCTAGAACTAGAATTTTTAGAAGCTAAAACTTCTAGATAATTTTCAGAGGTTAAAATTTTTTAACTTATTTTCAGTTGGTGCAATCTTGAGCTAATTTTAGTGGGCTATAAATTTAGGCTAATTCAAATGGGCTACAAATTTAGGCGAATTTTAGTAGGCTATAAATTCAGGCGAATTTTAGTGGGCTATAAATTTAGGCTAATTTTAGTAGGCTATAAATTTAGGCTAATTTTAGTAGGCTATAAATTTAGGCTAATTTTAGTAGGCTATAAATTTAGGCTAATTTTAGTGGGCTATAAATTTAGGCTAATTTTAGTGGGCTATAAATTTAGGCGAATTTAAGTAGGCTATAAATTTAGGCTAATTTTAGTAGGCTATAAATTTAGGCTAATTTTAGTAGGCTATAAATTTGGGCTAATTTCCAGAGGATTGCCTAACCAGATATCTGTCTTCATCCTCGGTCTCTTGGTCGTCATCAGACTCAGAGCTGTTCACAGAACCCGAATCTGTACACACAAAAATGCAAATGAGTTCGCACAAATGCGAATTGTTCAGGAATACAATAAATGTGAAGTTTATAGTCAAAACTAGAGTATAGGGAAGAAAAACTCGTACAGTTTTAAAATTACCCCAAATTGTGGGAATTGCTGGAGTAAAATTCTGATAATTTACACTAGGAATTTACCACATTAAAAGAAATTTTGAGTTAAAATACAAGTGTTCTATTGGTATAGTTAATTAACTCTAGACTTAACTTAAAATTTCACAAATTCACTCATCTCTAATATCACTATAAAAATCATGAAGAGAAATCCTTCACGGGATCGATTCGGGATAATACAAAAACGGAAAATCTGAAAGCCTTCGTGCTTAAATTTAGTGAAAATACAAAAAAAAAAATTTAGTGTAGAACCATTTAAACCTTTTGTCAGATTGCATTAGTACAACGGTACTAAAATTCAGCACGATTATAACGTTGTGAAATTTATAAAAAAAACAAGGGAGGAGAAAAATATATAGTTTGCTTCAAAGGAAGATAAGAATAACATACATGGCTGATAATATAACTTAAGAATAAGAATAACATACAAGAATACCTGGCAAGAAAGAGAATATGATAATAACATAACATAATAGCATAACATAATATAATAATATAGTAGTATACCTGACAAGAAAGAGAATAACATAATAGCATAACAACGTACAAGAATACCTAACAAGAATGACAATAACATAATAACATAGAAGAATACCTGGCATAACATAACATAATAACATACAAGAATACCTAAGAAGAATGAGAATAACATAATAACATAGAGTAATACCTGGCATAACATAACATAATAACATAATAACAAACAAGAATACCTAAGAAGAATGAGAATAATATAATAACATAGAAGAATACCTAACAAGAATGAGAATAACATAATAACATAGAATACCTGGCTCATAATTAGGTTCGTTCCAAGGCTGGAGTTCGCCGCGGTAGTAGGCCACGAAGAACGTGTTGCCCGCCACGATGATGATCACCGTCAGCCAGAACACCAGCCGCCATCTCTCCAGCGTCTCCTGCATCGAACATGGACTTATGTAATAAATTATAAATAATTTATTAATGTAAATAAATGTAATTGATATATGCCAGCGTCTCCTGCATCGGTACATGGGCTTAATATACATCAGGAGGTAAATCATGAAGCTAACAGAAATGTCTACAGAAATTGGGAGTGCTATTTTCACCTGTCCACTGAAATCGTAAGTGTCCTTCTCACCTGTCCACTGAAGTCGTAGGTGTTCTCACCTGTCCACTGAAATTGGAGGCACCCTTCTCACCTGTCCACTGAAATTGGAGGCACCCTTCTCACCTGTCCACTGAAATCGTAAGTGTCCTTCTCACCTGTCAACTGAAATCGGAAGTGTCCTTCTCACTTGTCCACTGAAATCGTAGGCGTCCTTCTCACCTGTCCACTGAAATCGGAAGTGTCCTTCTCACCTGTCCACTGAAATCGTAAGTGTCCTTCTCACTTGTCCACTGAAATCGTAGGCGTCCTTCTCACCTGTCCACTGAAATCGTAGGTGTCCTTCTCATCTGTCAACTGAAATCGTAGGTATCCTTCTCACCTGTCCACTGAAATCGTAGGCGTCCTTCTCACCTGTCCACTGAAATCGCAGGTGTCCTTCTCACCTGTCTACTGAAATCGTATCGTAGGTGTCCTTCTCACCTGTCCACTGAAATCGTAGGTGTCCTTCTCACCTGTCCACTGAAATCGTAGGTGTCCTTCTCACCTGTCCACTAAAATCGGAGGCACCCTTCTCATCTGTCCACTGAAATCGGAGATGTCCATCTCACCTGTCCACTGAAATCGGAGATGTCCATCTCACCTGTCCACTGAAATCGGAGATGTCCATCTCACCTGTCCACTGATGAGCGCCCCCACAGTTAAGGGCGCCAGGAAGGCGGGCACGGTGGCCACGGTGTTGGTGATGCCCATGAGTGTGCCGCCGAAGTTTGGGGCGATGTCGAGGTGGGCACAGCCGTGGCCCGACCCTGTGGCCCCGTTGAGGCCCACGGCGAGGGTCAGCATCGTGACGGACAACACCGCGTCACAGCCCGTGTAGGCCACGGCCACCAGGAATACTGCGGGACCCAGCATGCCTGCGGGAAAAACAGGATTTATAAAATTAAATTGTAGGTACCAGATTTATAAAATTAATCTGTGCTTAGCCTGTAAAATCTAAGTTTCAGTCATCGCAGAAGTCACAATTTGTGCGTAGCCTATGAAATCTAAGTTTCAGTCATCGCAGAAGTCGTAATTTGTGCCTAGCCTACAAAATCTATTTTTCAGTCATTGCAAAAGTTGCAATTGCTCTGAAAATTTCATGAGTATTTTTCTAATTCCAACGCAAGACCTCGCACTAACCGCATCGCCTTCGATTAAACAAAGCTAGACCTTAATATAAACTATCATTTGTGACCATACTGTGTTTAAGAATCAAATTGTATCTACACTCAGAGAGATAATTGAGACAATGTCCGAATAGCGATGCTCTTTTCCCCCTTGTGTGGGTGACTCTGACGCACTTTGGCCCGGCAAAAGGGCGCATCAGCGCTACATGCTAAAAGTGTGTCACTATTCGGACAACATATATACCAGCGTCTCGTGCATGAGCAGAGAAACTTAATACGAAAATTTGACATATGGCGTAAAAATACAGCGTTGTGGCCGAAAATTATTACAAAGTTTAACACCAGGAATTACTTTAATTTATTTTTTAATATAATTTTTCCGGTTGATATAATCTCACCGATAGAACTGAAGATGAGGCGAGCCTGGGTGGTTGTTAAGCGACCAGACGCCCTGAGGAAGTCGCAGACGAAGGCACAGCTTACACCGAACACGAACATCGCGAAGTACGGTAATGCTGAGAGCAGCGAGTTCTGCCATCGAATTATATTAATATTAACATTGAATAATAAATAAGGGCCGTACTACTGAACTTGCCACTACTGAACTTCTGCCATCAATCATCGGATTATATTAGCTTTAACTTTGAATAATAAATAAGGGCCGTACTACTGAACTTGCCACAAAGTAGAGGATATTGTTGNAAAGTTCTTTAACTTTGTAAGAAAGTTCTTTAACTTTGTTAGAAAGATCATTAACTTTGTTAGAAAGATCATTAACTTTGTTAGATTGTTCATTAACTTTGTAAGAAAGTTCTTTAACTTTGTAAGAAAGTTCTTTAACTTTGTTAGAAAGATCATTAACTTTGTTAGAAAGATCATTAACTTTGTTAGAAAGATCATTAACCTTGAATAATATACAGGAGCCGTACTACCGAAATTGCCTCAGTATACATGTCGTGGACTCGCAGCACATGTGTTTGGTATCAAAGTAGAGGATACTGTCTAAGTAATCTCACCTGTTTGATATCGAAGTGTAGGATATTATTGAGATACGTAGGCAGCTCGGTGAGCAGCACGTAGAACACGTAGTTCTGCGCCATGTGACACACGGCGATCGCGTAGAATGGCATAGACGTAAAGATCGCGCGATAGGGTACAGGGAGGCTCTGGAAATGGGGAAAAATTAAAATTTTTCTCATGAAATTACCCTGACTAAGATCTAAAAGACTTAGAAACTGCGGTTGTTAAAAGGAACAGCAAAGTTTATACAAGATAGATTAAGTTGTTCATGCGAGAAAGCATTCGGTAACTGCGTATTTAAGATAAATGTAATATTAAAATAACTAATATATGGTACCTCATAGGTAATAATAACTTTTAAATTAATAAGCATCTCACCTGTTCAGGCTGCTGCACCTGGCACCTCAGCGAGGCGCCGATGTAGAGCTTCTCCTTGTCGCTCATCCATGGATGTTTCTCGGGCGTTCGTCTTGCCTACGCAAATTCCAGAATTCATTAGCAAAATACGTATAAAATGAACTATAATGGTAAATTTAAGGCGTTAATCAGTTTTAATTCAATTAATTTTTTAACTTACGGTAGCTTTAATTTTATCTATCACAAATAAAATAATTCTCGCGTTCGTCTTGCCTGCGCAAATTTCAGAATTCATTAGCAAAATATAAAATGAACTATAATGATAAATTTAGAGCCTACATTTCCATAATACAGCGGCTTTGATTTTATCTATCACAATTAAAATAATCCTCGCGTAACAATAGAATCTAGTTTAACAGAGTTACAGCTTAAATTTAAGCTGTAATTTGAATGTCACACAATTTTTCGAATGACATTTTGAAGTTTAATTTGACTGTGTTTGGAATGAAAAGAAATGTTGCAATTTAAATTAACCATATTTAGACTGCAACGAAAAATTCAATTAATTACCTTTGAATTAATAACCATCTCACCTGTTAATAATTACCTTTGAATTAATAACCATCTCACCTGTTAATAATTACCTTTGAATTAATAAGCATCTCACCTGTTAATAATTACCTTTGAATTAATGAGCATCTCACCTGTTAATAATTACCTTTGAATTAATAACCATCTCACCTGTTAATAATTATCTTTGAATTAATGAGCATCTCACCTGTTAATAATTACCTTTGAATTAATAACCATCTCACCTGTTCAGAAAGCAGCACCTGGCACCTCAGCGAGGTGCTGATGTAGAGCTTCTCCTTGTCGCTCATCCATGGATGTTTCTCGGGTGTTCGACTTGCCTACGAAAATTTCAAGAATTCATTAGTAAAATATAAAATGAACTATAATGGTGAATTTAGGGCGTTAATTGCAGCTTTAATTCAATTATTCAATTAATTTTTTAATTTAAGGCAGATTTAATTTTATCTAATTTGAGCTGTGATTTGATTGTCACAATTTTTTTGAATGACATTTTGAAGTTTAATTTGACTGTTTTTGGAATGAAAAGAAATGTTGCAATTTAAATTAACCATATTTAGACTGCAACGAAAAATTCAAAATTTCTACTTGGATAAAAATGTAGCCAAATTCAAAACAAAATAATTTAAATAGCTGAGTTAAATAAAAATTAGTCATACCAAATAATGGAACGAGGATCTAAATAAAAAATGATTTTTATTTACAACATAACAATAGTCTTGACATACATAGAAGCGCATTTTAAATATTATAAAATGTTCAAATCAGCTACTGAGTCTCTTTTAGTCACTATTTTCCCCAAAAGTGCTACCTATATCAGCAGACACCCGACATTAGTAGCTCACTGTCGGTAACCTACCTAGTCTAGGCAGTAATATACTGGTATTACCGTCCCGTAACTTGCATATAATAATTCTGGTATGCTACCCTACCAGTCTCCAGCAAGGGCTATACAGACCACAATTGAAGTCTCCTGTCTTACTTATGCATTCTAAATCAGTTGATGTTCTATTGTCTATGACGTATGAATACACTATTATTCATAGTTTACCGCCGACTTTATTCAACTCTCCTTTCTTACTTATGCATTGTAAATTTGCCGATTATCTATTGTCTATGATGTTTGAATAATAAATACTATTCATAGTTTATCGTCGACTTTAAGAAAGTCAATCTTTATGCATCCGCCACACTCACTATGGCCGCCCACACCAGCAGCCACAGGACGCCTATGGCCCCGAAGATGTAGAAGGCAGCAGGCCAGCCCCCGAGGAAGGTCGAGGAGCACAGGTATCCTGACGCAGGCAGAGCCAATACCGTGCCAAAAATGGCTCCTGAAATGAAATTGGGCGTTGCTAGTGGCATTTATACGAAGGAGTGGTTAAAAATGGCATATGAGAGCATAATGTAGTGTTGTTTTTGTCTGCTGATGAGAAAAAAATGGCCCCTAAAAAATGTATGATCATTAAAATAAAATAAGACCCTAATGTCTAAATTGTAGCAAAATTTTCATCAGTTTGTTGGAAATGAGCCAAAAATGGCACCTGTCGCCGAAAAGTGACGTTATTGTTGTTTTTTAAATACGAGAGGGGCCATAATTGCAAATAGGGCTAAAATGAGGCAAATCTCTCATCTGCTCAACGGAAAGCAGTCAAAAATTGCAAAAATCACATAATCCATGGCTTAATATATGAAAAACGATGGAAGGGGAATAGCAAGAAAAATGAGAGAAAGAATTGAGAAAGATAAGAGAGAAAAGAGGATAAGATATACGTAAGAAAGGAAAGCCAATAAGAGAAAAGGAAGTAAAAAAAGATAGGGAAGGGGAAAAAAGCATGAAAGGGACTAAAGGAAGGGTGAAAGAGTGACAGCAGAGACATAAAGAGAAGGTTGACGAAGATATTAGAGTCGCACCTGAGAACACGCCGATGACGGTCTGGGTGCGCTCCAGGGGCGGCGTCCACACGGCCAGCATAGCCATCATTGCGGGGAATGTCAGGCCCTGACAACATGCCAGTCATGTACGTCATGAATGTCAGGCCCTGACAACAAGCCAGTCATGTATGTCATGAATGTCAGGCCCTGACAACATGACAGTCATGTATGTTATGAATGGCTGGTTCAATGTAGGGAATGGCTAGCTGAGAACATTGCTGTGAAGCTGACAACATGGCCACCATGTAATGAATGTGTAGCTGAATGTAATGAATGTGTAGCTGAATGTAGTGAATGTGTAGCTGAATGTAGTGAATCTATAGCTGAATGTAATGAATGTGCAGCTGAATGTAATGAATGTGGCTGACAACATGACTGTGATCAGATGCAAGTAAAGCTTGGAATGTGTCTTGAGATGAATTTACGCAGAAAATGTAAGAACAAGTCAATTTATAATAATTTAAACTGGTAGAAATAGTTAAGTAATTACCATGAGCCTGACTAATTAATAAAGATAATAATAGTATATATTATACAATGGTACTATATTATACAAAGTAATATATACCTCAGTGAGACCCTCAGCAACTCTCAGGGCAATGAAAAGATTTACGCTTGATCGAGCAGCATAGGGAGTGAGAAGAGTGAGCACTGACGTGGCTCCCACGCCAACTCCCATCACAATGTGACCACCAAAGTTTTCAGCAAGTCTTCCACCAAGAATGTTTGTAGCAATGTAGCCCCAGAAAAAAGAGCCAAGTATAATGCCTTGCTCTTCTTCTGTCCAAGCAAACTCACCATTCTGGAAAAATTTGAAAGTTAGTATGAGTTGGATGTGACTAGTATCAATAACATGCAAGTTGCAATTGTTCCAAGTTAGAGCAATCCAATACAAACCAAATATTTCATTTATAAAATTTGATGAGAATTTCTAGCATGATTTCAGAGCAATAGTTGAATGATTTTAAATATCCTGAAAAAAATTACAGTTGAAATTTATTGTAATAATATTTATTAGATAGGGAACATGGCATCTTACAACACTTGATTTAATTTTATTGTAGTTAACAACATGGCAACTTGCATTGGTGGAGGAAGTACCAGAGTTATTTCAGAGTTTTACTTTCATTTGTTGACATATTACTATATTAATTGAGTATGAGGCAACTCACATAATTTGTTGAAGTATTAGTGTTGTTAGGTAGGGGACAGACATCAGGGCTTGAGGTGTTGACATGTGAGATGGCACTGCTGTTCACCATAGCCACAATGGCTACGGACAGGTTCACACGCATGGAATAGACATTGACAAATCCCAGAAAGCCTAGGAAGGCTACAAGGTGTCTCATTCCTGGGAATGTGTGAACTGTGAAGGCAAAAAATCAGTTTCAGAAAGCTATAAATGATTAGGTTTTCAAAGTAATATTTTAAAAAAATTTTCATGATTTAATGAAATGATTACCTATATAATTACTGTCTTGAAAATTAAATAATATAATTTTGGATACTCAAGATAATTCTTGTAGATGATAAGCAAGGTTTAGATTCATTTTGGACTAGGTTTGTAGCACACATGGCTATAGCTTACTCATTTTTGCCTGAAAATACTAATTCTACAAACATCAGAACAGAACCTGTTCTACATCAGAACAGATTTCATTCATTAAGAAATATTATCAACTAATATTTTCACCAATAAAATATGCCTTTAGCACTGATTAAAATTTGTTAATAAATGACAAAATATGTTTTTATTTCAACTTTTGAAAACATAGAAATAGTTCCCAACATCTCCATTATTAACTTAACCCTATCCTTTAAAATTTGTAAATTAATGAGAAGTTATTGCTAACTTTACATTATTTTCTATGTTCAACATGATTCATGAACTAGTTAAATTTAAAAATAAAGTATAATTATATAATCATCTAATAATAATAATAATAATGAATTTTAAATATTTTAGGAGTCTAGGCATAATATTTGAAATTGAACCCTGTAAAATATGAGAAGAGTTATATAAAAGCATTTAAAAATTGTAAATGGTAAAATGGCTAGCCTATGACTGACTGATGACTCTTTGCAGCAAGCAACATTAATTTACAATTTACATAATCAGAAAATATATTGTAAGCAATAATAATATAAATCAGTTCAAGTAACATACACCAAATTATACAAAATTTGAAAATTGATTACTGATTACATATATAAATAGAATTTTATATAAAACAACAAGTGCTCAGCTCAAGCAATCAGTTTTACTTTACCTGGTACACTGGAGAGATTGGATGCATCCCCATCAAGGCAATCTTGGTCGTCTGATGGGACTGCTCTTTTTGTCTCTTCATTAACATTTTCGGTGCCATTGCCACAAGGTCCACCAGTATCAGCATGCCGCTCGGATGATGAGGGAGCAGCCATTGTCATCTCATTAAGTTGGATTAGATCTTTTTTTCTAACTATAGACTATATAGTCTATTGACGTTTAATCCTACAAAGAAAAAAAGCTATAAGTTAACGTTATTTCGCCTCCAAACATATTGAGCCTTAGTCTATGTGCGTATGTGGCAGTGAGTCACTGACTCACTGCCACAGTGGCACTCGTAGTCGGCCCGTCGGAGACCTCGGCTGCTGCCGCGAGTACTGAGTGCCACCAGAGCAAAACACAAATGAATTTCGAGGGCGGATGCATTGACCCTTTTATGTTTATCAATCATCCGCATTCCGGAACAGCTGATTATGTATGAAGAGCCAGCTGATTTCAAATTAGGCCAAAAATTCCAGTATATATGTTCAAAATGTTTAGTTTAGCCATTAATGAAAGGAAAATTGTATCATACAGTCATACTATTGTTTACTTTCCTTATATTTGCCTCAGTTTGTTTGTCATGAAGGTTCGAAGAGAATAACCATCCCGCTTTCATGTGTGTAATTCAATGTAAAAAACAAAACAAAAATCAATCAACTAAATCGTTAGTTATAGCCAATATATTGACTAAACCTTTTTTGTATGCTTTCGATAAAAAGCTTTGAAACGTCAAGGCGGAAAATAATAAAGAACCGTCGAAAACGAAAGAAACAAATAATTTGTGTCTAGGTCGAGTATATATATGTGTAACATCTACCATGAAGGTATAAATGATTTAGTTCAATAACAAATAATTTCCATATTAATTAATGAAAAATCAATTTTTAGGTACAGGAGCAAAAGTGTTTTCGCAGTTATAAAACATATAAGTGAGTGTCAGTTATAAAAGACAACAAATAATGACCTTAAAGATACCTATCAAAAGCAAATGAAATTATGTAAACCCAATGGTGATACCGCGCTCTTCCGGTGACAAATTCGCATTTTGAACCTGAGTTATCAAGTTCGATGAAACCTAACTCGACGTAGGTACATACATATTTACAAACGCAGTGCGTATGTGATAAAATTTTGTAAAAATGATAAAAAAATGCGCATTTAGTATTTTGGTCCATACATTGTACAGTAAAGACTACGGTAATAATTAAACGACTAATACAGTAAGACTAATAATTAAACGGCAGTGCTGAATTATTTTACCCATTTTATCTTCACTATTATATGATAAAACCTTAATTTCTGATCTAGGAAATAATAAAAGAAATCTTTTTCGTTCGTGTGCATGTGATAGTAATTTGGATTTCAGTGCACACTGATGATTCAAATTGTAAATCGGAATTCACATCCATTGTAATTCCCGAATAATTTTATGTAGATTCATTCATTTATATTTACTTTCAGGAAATCGCTCCTCATGATATGACAATTAAATTGTTAAGAGATATATCAAGCAGGCAAACTAAATTTAATTAATCGCAATAATACGACAAGACGAAACAATTAATAGAGAACTATTGTTTTGAAAAACTAGCATTGAAACTAAGCCGTACTCATAAATTACACTTTCCTATTTTATTCATACTTAATTATATTGAAAAAAATTGTTATTGAAAAATAAATAAGAATTGAACAATAAATAAAGTGTATTGAAAATAACAGTGGACGGGAGTATCATGAAAAATATAATCTTGAACGTATACCTAGCGCTTAATTTTTTTAACGAAATAAATAAGTGAAACAAGAATTGTAATTATATTAATTTTTCTAGTTAAGTAGTACCGGTAAATGAGTTAGTTTCTAAATCAATCACATTTAAATTAAAGCGCGATCTTTGTAAGAGGAATTTCCTCTGTTGAATGGACCCGCAATCTTTGATAGTTCACATTATTCACTATATTAGTAATGATATAGTAATAATATATTATAATATATTATTACTATATTACATTATACTATAATATATTATTATAATATTATTCGCTTTGATAGTAATGAATAATATTTTGTCCTAGTAGCGATGCATATTTTGCCCTTGTCTGGGCCATCCTAAAGAAGTTTGGCTCATTAAAAGTGTCTATTAATATCAGGGCTCAGTAATATAAGGGCTATCTGCAGAAAGTGGGTCACTATTTGGAAAGTGTGTCACTACACAACAGTGGGTCACTAGTGGGTCACTACACAATATAACCCATCATCTTTCTGAGTGCTACTAAATCGGATAAAGTTATTCCCAGGATTTTTAGATGATTTGCCTGCAACTGTTATGTTAATTTCACTTAAATTTAATTATATTTATTACAGGTCTAATCTGTTAAGTATCATAATAGAAGTATATGTTAATTCGGAGCTGACTCACGAAAAATTCCTATAAATTAATTGATCAGGTTACTGATATTGATATTAATTGATTGATGAATTGATTATTGATATTAATTGTTGATCTTATAAAATAAATGGGTCACACGGTGCTAATAGTGACACACTTTCTTGCCCACTGCACGCACAGAGAGAGGACGTAGCACTGATACAGTGATAGTGATTTTTACAGTGATAGTCCTTTTTTCCTGGGACAAACGTGGATCAAGATGACCCATGCAAGGACAAAAGAGTATCGCTATTCGGACAAAAGCTCATTAGTTTTTTTGCGTGCATAGACATATAAAATGTTATCCCTAACAATTTTAAGTTACTACGTAAGCTGGGTGGCTGATAAGCGTACGATAAATTCGTTGTTTCATATCAGCTTGTCTTTAGCGTCATCATCTTACTCACTTCACTAGAGTAATTTTTATTGGCATTAGCTTCAGTAAGAGGTTCTATTAACATTGAATTTTGCAAAATGCGGATGTTTGAATCGTCGAACGCGGGTTCAAAAATGGTCCGTTTCGCTTTGGGCGCCTTCGATGTCCTGGTGTGCCAGACGTAGATCTGAATAAATATACAATAAAATATATTTGATTAGAGACGTAAATTTGATACATTAAAAAAATGTTTGAAGGAGAGTTATGGGTGGAGTGTTATTAATCGTATATTCCATTATATCAGTTTGAAATTCAAATTATATCGTTTATTTTGCAAAATATCAACAATTTGAGGGTTGATTCATTGTTTTAATAATTCTAATAAAATAATAAGAATAATTAACTTGGACGCCTCACCTCCGTGCAATCATTTGCTTTGAACTCCAGTTCAGAGAAGCTGATCCCAAAATAATTCTAAAATAATAATAATAATAATAATTATCTTGGACGCCTCACCTCTGTGCAATCGTTTGCTTTGAACTCCAGTTCAGAGAAGCTGATCCCAATGGCCCGCAAGAAACCGTCTTCTTCATATGAAGTTTTGAACGGCATCTCTACTTCACCTGCCTTAATTAAAAGAGATATAGAGAAATGTGAATAAAGGAATATAGATAACATACGAGTGATAATATTTAACAATTAATGAATAGAGGAATTTAATGGGAAAGTCTTAAGGAATATATATAACATGCGAGTGATAATATTTAACAATTAAGGAATAGAGGAAATTAATGGGAAAGTCTTCTTTTCTTTTAAACTTTTAAACGATTGAAATTTTTGAATCTGATTCAGGAATCAAATTTCTAATTGGACTGAAAACTCGTTGCCGACAAATTGAGTAACGTAATTTAAGACATGTCTCCATAATACAAATGTTCTGTAGCGATAGTCGAACTATTAGAAATACAATTTTCCTAATCATTTGCTAAATACATCTTGAATGTTGTAAGATCACTCACAGCTCTCCAGTAGTCAACATTAACAGCGAAACCCGCCATGTCAACAGGAAATTTCCTTCCGTAGATGAATCCGTCGTACCAACCGACGAGGTGTCCGTCTTTTAGGACTGGAGTGGACAACGCCAGGCCCGTGACAAGACCAACCGGCCACATGGACACCCGCTGAGTGTAGCGCATCTGGGGGAGGGCAATAGGGGATGAAGGTGACAGAAATGTAACCGCCGGGTTTAGCGCGTCAGTTGGGCGACATAGGAGGAAAATGCGGAACATTTAACCGGCGGGTGTTTCTCATTGTAGGGAGGGGCAAGAACGAATGAAGGTGACAAAAATGTAACCGGTGGGTGTAGGGCATCTGGGACAACAGAAGAAGGGTATCAAAATGCAACAAGTTAAAAAATTTTCTCGAAAACATGTTAAATAAAAATGTATACGTGACCGCATTCTAATAGAAAAATGGTTTAAAGACGCAAATTGATGAATGTCCCTCACGAATATGTCCAAAGTCAACGAACTTTACCTCACCTAAGAGTTGTACGTCAACGAACTTTAATTCAGCGTAGAGTCGAAAGTCAACAAACTTTAACTCGCCGTAGAATCGAAAGTCAATTAATTTTTTTACTTCATCGTAGAGTCGTAAGTATAGTAACTTTACCTATCGTAGCGTCGTAAGTCAACGAACTTAAACTCGTCGTAGCGTCGTAAGTCACGAACTTAAACTCATCGTTGAGTCGTAAGTAAAGTGACTTTACCTATCGTAGCGTCGTAAGTCAACGAACTTAAACTCATCGTAGCGTCGTAAGTCAACGAACTCAAACTCACCGTAGAATCGTAAGTCCACTAACTTTACCTCACGGAAGAGTCGTAAGTCCACTAACTTTACCTCACGGAAGAGTCGTAAGTCCACTAACTTTACCTCACGGAAGAGTCGTAAGTCGTAGGAGTTGTCGTCATCCATGAAGTAGAAGACGCCAGTTTTGTTGTTGTCCCTGATCCACCGCATGCCCGCGTTGCGGGCGGCCACGCCCTTGGGTTTGTAGACCATCTTTTTATCGTCTCGGTACTTCGATGGCATCGGAGCTGCGGGGCGAGATTACTTAACATAACATAACATAGTGATCTCGGCGCTGAAGTGTAGGCCTGATGTGGTCTGTCGCCGATTCTTTTCCTTTTCGTGCCTTGTTCACAGAAGATCTAAAATCGTTTCATTTATCCTACACTACATCCTACAATTAGCTCATCATATTCGGAAATATTTCATACGAATGATGAAAAAGTTCGATTAGCAGAGCGAAATCGCGTTAAACCAAGATATTGCTCATTATGTTCTCCGATAATAACTACAAATGGCGAAAAAAATATAACTCAGTACTCACTGCAGCGAGTGACAAAGAGCGCATTTCTCGTCAACGAAAACGTGAAGTCACGGACGGACGGACAGACGGACGGACGGACAGACAGACATGACGAGCACAATAGCGCCTTTTTTCCATAAATGAGATGATGTGTGGCTAAATAGTTTAAGGACCTTTGTTAAAAATGCAGTATGGAACTAAGGGTAGCAATGAAATCATGTCCGGGATAAATTTGAAATAGCTTGTAATATCGGCAGCCTCACCGAACAGGAAAGTGTAGGGAAGCTTGAGGTTAAGGAGGAATCGCTGCAGGGGTTCTGAAGCGGTGGTCGCGTCTTCACAGATAATCCAGTGTAGCGCCGGTACATGCATCAACGTTTGTGACAACCGCGTCAGCTCTGCGATCTGCGGTACCAATGAAACTTTTTGTAAATGATAATGGTTGTTGCTGACGTGGTCTGCGATCTGCGGGACAAATGAAACTTTTTGTAAATGATGCATCTTCACAGATAATCCAGTGTAGCGCTGGTACATGCATCAACGTTTGTGACAACCGCGTCAGCTCTGCGATCTGTGGGACCAATGAAACTTTTTGTAAATGTATATGGTTGAAATACTTTATATATTTATGCCTATGTGAGGAGACCCTTTGAAATCAGCAGTGCTTGAAATACAGTACTATGTTGGTGGTTGCTGTTGACGTGGTGCCCCGGTCTCATTTTTACAAGAGACCCCCCTCGCGCAAGCATGAGACCGCCAACAGGGGGTCGCTCCAGATAGTGATAGTGATAGTGGTTGAAATACTTTATATATTTATGCCTTTGTGAGGAAATCATTTGCAATCAGCAGTGCTTGAAATGTTGATATGTAAAAATGAATGTAAAAACAATGTTAATTTTAGCCTTCGGCGACAGGTCAAGCTTGGCCTATTCATCAGTGCACACTCTAATATACTATGTACGGTTATTTAGTGGAAAAATATTTTCAATTACAAGAGACTGAAATACTTGATTGATACCCGCCGTTACGAGAAATATATATTTGCTATTATCATCGACTGAAATAATGCTATTACGAATCAAAACATTTGCAATTACACGTGTCCGAAATATTTGACTGAAATTGTTTGTGTATGCATTTATTCAAATATTTGGCAGCATGTTTTGGTTTTTGAGGTATTCATAAATGCCGATATGAAATATTCAATGGAATTGGTAATGATGTTAATAAAGGAAAGGCGCTAACGAATTACATTGGAATTAGTCTAAGCGTTCAGATGTTCTGTAGGTCGGGGTGATGACATACCTGCTCAGGTCTGCTGTAGGTCGGGGTGATGACATACCTGCTCAGGTCTGCTGTAGGTCGGGGTGATGACATACCTGCTCAGGTCTGTTGTAGGTCGGGGTGATGACATACCTGCTCAGGTCTGTTGTAGGTCGGGGTGATAGCGTATATCATGGGCAGGTTCGAGTCAGACAAGTCGGCTCCCGGCGCCAAAGGACGATTTTGTTCTTCTCGTAATGTACGGTACAGATGATCTGAAAGTATACACACCATTTATTTGTGTTGATCGCAACTTCGATTGTGAATTTTTCTTCCCGTTTTCTTTCTATGCATCAAAAATTTTTCTGCTTTGGTCGTTCCTCTCAAGATTTTAAACTTCAATACCACCATTTCGTGCTTGTCAATTTCGAAGATGAGCATTTTACAAACTATGAAATATTATTAAATAACTTCATAAATGGCAAAAAATTTGAAAAATTCCCTGTAGTACAATAATTAGCCTCTGATCCTTTAAATAAACCGTGTCAACCAATGGTGTGGCTTGATTATTAACAAATGAATACATGAACCTTCCTCTAAATAGAACCAAATTAGGTATGAATAAATAATTAAATGAATAAGGTTAAAGCCTCCCTCATACGGACCACATGCCCTTGACTTTACTAGACACGTGTTTACTATTACTAGGCACGAGTTAAACTTAAGCCAAAGGGTAATTTAACTATCATGTATGTTTTTTCATCAAAAATTCCGGTAACGACAGCAACCGCTGAATATTCGCATCGAAAAATCTGTTAAACGACAGAAACAGCCAGTTAATCGCATCGAAAAATGTATTAGAAACAGAAACTGCCAGTTAATCGCACCGATAAATTTAATCTATGAAACAGCCATTTAATCGCATCGAAAAATGTATTATAAGCCGAAACTACCAGTTAATCACTTTGAAAAAATTATAATAAATAGAAACTGCCAGTTAATCGCATCGAAATTTTTTATAAGCAGAAACTGCTATTTAATTGCATCGACATTTTTTTACAAACAGAAACTGCTATTTAATTGCATGGAACCATTGTAGTCGTACCTCTCATGCTAGTAAAATAAGTATGTAAACAGAAACTGCCATTTAATTGCATGGAACAATTGTTGTCGTACCTCTCATTTGTTGCGCCCTCATGAGCACTTGAGCTTGCTGGTTAGTGGCGTGCCAGACGTACAGGCTTCCGAACAAAGAAGACGCGCCCGTCACAAACATCACGAGTCGGAACCAGCGCGACCTGTTCACACGACAATCATCAATGGGAATATAATTATGAAAAACATGACAAACATTAATTGGAATATAATAATAAAAAACATGAAAAATAATAATGGAGATATAATAATGAAAAAATGACAAAAATTACTGGAAATATAATCATAAACACATGACAATCATCAATGGAAATATAATCATAAAAACATGACAATCATCAATGGAAATATAATCATAAAAACATGACAATCATCAATGGAAATATAATAATGAAAACATGATAAACATCAATGGAAATATAATCATGAAAACATGATGAACATCAATGGAAATATAACCATAAAAACATGATAAACATCAATGGAAATATAATCATCAAAACATGACAAACATAAATGGATATATAATCATAAAAACGTGGCAAACATCAGTGGAAATATAATCATGATAAAAAAGAAAAATCAAAAGAAATGTAATCATGAAAAACATGACAAACCTCAATGGAAATATAAATAAATAAATAAATCAATAAATATCAATTTATAAATAACTCACGGTACATGACATCAAACATAAAAGTTGAGAGTAACAATGCAAGAAAATGTCTTTGTAATTTTAAATATAAATTTTTTAATATCGGCTAAATTTAAATTACAAATTCAATTTAAATTAAAATTCAAATTTTATTTTGTTTATAAATATTTTTTATGGCGGATATTCTTTACTGCGTAAGACTCACTCCACGAGAAAAAAATGGCTTTTATAGTTCAAGTGGACGTATAAAATATTCTATTTTAAATAATAATTATATATAATATGCAAATGAGCTAATACCAAATTTTACTCATGATTGTAATTGCATTTTCTATATAATTAAATAAATTTTATAGAACATTGCCAGGAGATAAAAAATTTTGATATATATTAAATTGTAAAAATAATCGAAAACTATTACATACTAATTGGCTTGGTGAAAATTTTCATAAGTAATCTTATATTGTTGATACCACTTATAAGTAATCGCTTTCACTTTTGCTGATATTAACTCTGGCATTTAGAAAAATTAACAGGTCTTATTGTACAAATAGTGACCCACTTTCTGCACGCGGCACTGACACGTACTTTTACTGGGCCAAACTGGGTCAATATGAACAACACAAGAACGAGAAGTGCAACGCAATTTGGACAAAGTATGATTCAATTCTCTGAGTGTCGTAGTGAGCACGAAGCTGAATTATGAATTTTCGTACAATGTATACTTAGGAAAATTCCGTTGTCCAAATTTCGATGCAATTTTTTTGGCTGTTGTGGGTCATGCTGCCCCAGTTTGGTCCGCCAGAAAGGACCTATTCAAATTTCAGAGTGTAATTAGTTTAAGATCCGTTTGGTGTAAATTAATAGGAGCAGCGCCCGAGTCACCGACATGTGGGGAATTTAATTATTTATTTTCATTTATAATTTGTTCTATTTATTCTGGGGAATTTATTTCCCCAGCAGGCATCTGAAGTTGAAACAACGTTGATTCCAGGTTTAAAATTTATCAAACATTTCACGTTGAATCAATGCCGAAATGTGACCAACACTAGAAGAGACGTAAATCAACCTAATTTCAATTTTGAAGCAGCGTCGATCTTGATACATTAAATTATAATCTATTTTGCAACTTAGATTCAACGTTATCACGCCAATTAATATATATCTGCTCGCATCGTTGGTGCAATAAGAGTATAAATGCGTTCAAGAACAGATTAGATGAAGCTATTCAGGAGTACATATATTGATTAAAAGTGCCTCCTATCTNTCCTTAAATCTGGTCAAAATTCCTGTACTCAGATCTGGTCAAAAGTCCTGTCCTCAGATCTGGTCAAAAGTCCTGTCCTCAGATCTAGCCAAAAGTCCTGTCCTCAGATCTGGTCAAAAGTCCTGTGCTCAGATCTGGCCAAAAGTCCCGTCCTCAGATCTGGTCAAAAGTCCTGTACTCAGATCTGGTCAAAAGTCCTGTCCTCAGATCTGATCAAAAGTCACGTACTCAGATCTGGTCAAAAGTCCCGTCCTCAGATCTGGTCAAAAGTCCTGTACTCAGATCTGGTCAAAAGTCCTGTACTCAGATCTGGTCAAAAGTCCTGTGCTCAGATCTGGCCAAAAGTCCTGTCCTCAGATCTGGCCAAAAGTCCTGTGCTCAGATCTGGTCAAAAGTCCTGTGCTCAGATCTGGTCAAAAGTCCTGTCCTCAGATCGGGTCAAAAGTCCTGTCCTCAGATCTGGCCAAAAGTCCTGTCCTCAGATCTGGTCAAAAGACCTGTGCTCAGATCTGGCCAAAAGTCCCGTCCTCAGATCTGGTCAAAATTCCTGTACTCAGATCTGGTCAAAAGTCCTGTCCTCAGATCTGATCAAAAGTCCTGTGCTCAGATCTGGTCAAAAGTCCTGTGCTCAGATCTGACCAAAAGTCCCGTCCTTAAATCTGGTCAAAATTCCTGTACTCAGATCTGGTCAAAAGTCCTGTCCTCAGATCTGGTCAAAAGTCCTGTCCTCAGATCTAGCCAAAAGTCCTGTCCTCAGATCTGGTCAAAAGTCCTGTGCTCAGATCTGGCCAAAAGTCCCGTCCTCAGATCTGGTCAAAAGTCCTGTACTCAGATCTGGTCAAAAGTCCTGTCCTCAGATCTGATCAAAAGTCACGTACTCAGATCTGGTCAAAAGTCCCGTCCTCAGATCTGGTCAAAAGTCCTGTACTCAGATCTGGTCAAAAGTCCTGTACTCAGATCTGGTCAAAAGTCCTGTGCTCAGATCTGGTCAAAAGTCCCGTCCTCAGATCTGGTCAAAAGTCCTGTACTCAGATCTGGTCAAAAGTCCTGTCCTCAGATCTGGTCAAAAGTCCTGTGCCCAGATCTGGTCAAAAGTCCTGTCCTCAGATCGGGTCAAAAGTCCTGTCCTCAGATCTGGCCAAAAGTCCTGTCCTCAGATCTGGTCAAAAGACCTGTGCTCAGATCTGGCCAAAAGTCCCGTCCTCAGATCTGGTCAAAATTCCTGTACTCAGATCTGGTCNTATCAAAATTCTGACATGTTCAGACTTTACGGCAGGCCTTGTGGCCTAAGCTCCAAATCTTTATAGACCGGTTTATACTGCAAGGAAAAATTGTGATCATTTAATTAAACGTACTAATTTAGAGAAATTTGTCTAAGATATTTTTACATGCAGAGAGATACCGTTTAAAGGTACCGTTTCATAAGAACTAATCACAATGATTCAAGGTACCGATTCGTGTGAAATTTGCCGAAGGATTTAAATAATAATAAAAGGGACAGCCGTTTGGAAAGAATTTTGAATTTTTCCATGAATTTTGAGTCCAACCAAGAACTTGGTTCCTAAAAAGTGCTTCTTTTAATCTTAACCAAGATTTAAGTTTCTTCCATCGCGAGTTACTTACATATTTGTTGGCGGTCGATATCTTGTCGTCTGTTTGATAGAATTTTCAATTCGCCCAAGGACTGAAACTCGTTGAGCTTCTGTAAACCGTGCGTTACTGAGAGAAATAGTTGAAACAACGTTGTTTCATCTATTCAACTGTGATGGCATCGAGAACAGCATCTGTTGAACAACACAAGCTGATGTTATTCTTTGTTTTTGAACTTGTTTATTTAGTGTGATAATCACGAAGAGGAAAGTGCGTAACTGTGAGAAATTGTTGAAACAACGTTGTTTCAACTATTCAACTGTGATGGCATCGAGCACAGCATCTGTTGAACAACACAAGCTGATGTTATTCTTTGTTATTGAACTTGTATGTTCAGTGTGATAATCACGAAGAGGAAATAGATAGTGAACGCTTGTTCCATAGGGAACACTTGCTACAGAGCCCGCGTCGGTAGCTACATAACATCTGAGAAAATAATTTCATTGCAATCGAGATTGCTTCGCTCCAGTTACTTGGTATATGCATTAATCGAGATGCATTACTATGCACAGATAGAAAAAGAAAAAGATACATTATTATGCACAGATAGGAAAAAGAACATGGTTCTCATCTATTCCCCAGGTGTGCATCTGTACGAGTTTTCAATAGAACGATGATGTGACATGAATTTGTAATATCCAGTAAAATAATCATTGTGGAGCAATCAGAATTTCATTAGTTTTTGCATAGAAGGACCTGAGATCGATCAAGTGAATGCGAAAATTATTCCATGAAATGAAAAGACGTCAGGCAATCACAGCACATCGCATGTTCAGGTCGAAAGGATAAAAATATTTTTCATTCAGTAGCATCCAGTGAATACTTGCCGAAAAAAAAATTGACAACGTGTGAGAGGAGAATTTATGGGAAAATCAAATTACTGTAATTCAGATGCAATGATTATTGATTTCCCGTTGCTGGGCGAAATTCCTGATATATATTAACAATTATTTCTTTATAGCTTCCGATGCACAGATGAATTGGAAATTAACGATAATTTTATTTGTTAACGATAATAATATCGGTCGCTCAATTGTCACTTCCTTGCCAAATCTTTTTTTTTATCGCTTGCTAATTTTTTAAATCTGAAAATTTATAATGTTTTCTAGATAAAAATTGGAATTTACGCTGTTTATTGAGCACAATTATGATCTTAATGACGCTGTCCTTAGATACGATCATATGTTGAGAAATTACTTCAACCATTAAGTTAAAAAATATAACTCAGTACTCACTGCAGTGAGTGACAGAGAGCGCATTTTCTCGTCGACGAAAACGTGGTCACGGACGGACGGACATGGCGAACACAATAGTGCACTTTTTTGTTGCATCAAACAAGTTGATATTCTTCTTTGTTCTTGAACTTTGTTCAGTGTGATAATATCGTTGCGGAAAGTTCTAGGGGAACACTTGCCATAGAGTTTGTCAACAGCTTCCCGACAACTGAAAAAATATAACTCGGTACTCACTGCAGTGAGTGACAGAGAGCGCATTTTCTCGTGGACGAAAACTTGAGGTCACAGACAGACGGACGGACAGACAGACAGACGGACGGACGAACATGGCGAGCACAATAGTGCATTTTTTCCATAAATGAGAAAATGCGCTAAAAATAATTGGATCGAGCACTGGCTGCGAGATTAAAAAGCAACGTTGCATTCTCTTGGTACATGTCTTAATTGAGATACATTTTCACCACCATTTCCTTAACATCGTGAAGCAATCGCACTTCCATTGATTGTTGGATAGAAGAACGTGTGAGTGTGATCAAGTGAATGTAAAAATTATTACATGAAAACAAAAGAGGCTTGAGTCAATCAAGGTACATCGCACGTTCAGTCCGTAGAATGCATCGCATGTTCGAAAATGTAGGACCCCGTTTTCAGTCAGTTTAGGTATCTATTGAATACTTGCCAAAGAGATTAGAAAACGGGTGAAACGATAAAAAATCGATTGGAAAAATCGTATTAGTGATAACGAAATGTTTTAAATTATTCATAGGCTAATAATGTGGGGCAAAATTGACGCTGTTATCATTTCATATTAACTTCAGGAATTGAATTATGAATGGAATAACCGAATAAGGAATAATTCACTGGTGAATCATAAATTAGTGAGAATTTATTGATAATTAAAAAGCTGATTCCTGTCATTTCCTTAACGAAATATTTATCTTCTGGTTATATTTTTTGAAGATGAACATTTTTAATGTTGTTTCGTCGAAGAAAGAGTTCGCTTTAAATTCAGCAAAATAATGAACTAGCTAAACTTTCGGTACGATCAAAAGTTAAGAATTTATTTCATCCATTCAGTTAAAAGGGACTATGAAGCGTTAATTGGAAGCCGGTTCAGTTCTCGCACATTCAGTTTTATAAAAAATAAATTGCCAGTCAGCATCAGACTCTGAGTGCGTGTTTTTAGTTTTTATTAGCTGACCTATCTAAAATGGAGATAGATATATACTAGAAACAGTCAACTCTCTTCTAGTGGTTACAATTTTTTTACACTAGGGACTTTTCATTGATTTTCAATTTTTCAGCGAACTCCATTTATTAAAAATTGTCTTATTTGAACTAACTTTCTGAAACATTTTTTTAAATGTTAAAACAATCGTAAGTCAACCATAATAATTTTATGGAAAAGTACCATTTAGCTACTAACACGAAATATGTATATTATTTGCACATATTTAGGATATCTTTACGACTTTTCCGTTAGATAGGTTCGCAAGTCTGAAGCTGAGGTGTCATCTTAAAAAAAAAAATAAAAGTTTCAGTGTCGTTCTAAGCAAAACCGTCATTCAAATTAATTGGAAGAGCCCCCGGCGACGACTCTAAATATTGTCACTTTGACACCTTTAAAGACTAAATAATCACATTGATAGTACTACGTATGATCTAGCACTGAAATTAAAGACGTTGCTTCCTAAGTGTAAGTTGCAGAATTAACACTTGTTGCGAGAACGTTTTATTGGGCCTGAGAACTATTCAGTACTGCGGCAATTGATGTTGCTGGACCTGAGGTCCGCGCAGCCAGCACCTGCTCTCTGAAAGATAAGATCTGTCGTGACATTTTTTTTACAGAAGAAAAGTGGTTATCCCGATGGCTCGATGAAAAGCTTCACATCTAATCTGAGGAGACATGGAGACCCAGCGACTCTGTTGTGCCATGCAGATAAAAACCCACTTGACTGCACGCACCTTACAAGTTTCGACAGCGTCCGTATACATGACGAAATCTTCAGATAAACTGTTAGAAAAAACGGTGAAAAAACGGTCCCACCGGCGTTCTAGTGGCCGGTCGCTCCGTGAAAATAAACTGTTTCGCCGTTTTTATCAGATGTTTTACGGATTTTTAGTGTAAAATTGGAATAAAAACGGTGACACGGTGTTTCTTTTCACGTACCGATCGGCCACTGAAACGCCGGTAATACCGTTAACGGGAATTTTTCTAACAGTGTATTTACACACGTATTTGAGGACATGCGATGTTCTTGTAAATATGTNATCGAACCCGGTGGAAGTCTAGTAGCTACTTCAAACTATCGCCAGTCATGAAAAGATCCGGTCAAATGACACGAGTTTAGATCTATGAACAAGGCACGAAAAGGAAAAGAATCGGCGACAGGCCACATCGGCCTACACTTCAGCGCCGACATCACTATGTTATGTTATGTGTAACGTAAAGTCGTAGTTCGTTTGACGCCATGAAAATTGCTTTATAAAATAATAATTCATAGAATACCAATTATTAGAATAATTGCCAAATAGAATAATTGCTTCATAGAATAATGAAAGCCACATAATATCAGCCATTCACGCTAAACTCGATAACATAGGCACGGCAATAGAAAATTGTTAATTATAAACACAAAGCTATGTACATATCAGTTCGTATATAAAATCTGAACTATTAAATCACCCATGATCGAGGATAATACTTTTTACTTACTATATTGGCAACCGAGACTCAATGTCAATTCGGCCATGCTTGGCTGTACATTTCTTTCAAACGATTAATGATTATGCCAATTGACAGATGCAAAAGCAGGATGGTAGTTACGTAAAAATGTCAGTAGAATACATTCTTTATTATTATTAAAAATTAATTCCGCTCTCATCCATCTTGAAGATATTCCAAACATGATTTTTATAGATACCTAACAAATATAGATTATTCTATTGTGAGGGCATCAAGCTATCTTAAGAAGTAAAGAACTAGTAGTAAACCCATTGCAAGATTCTTTTAGCACAAATATGTAAACATTTTCATTCTTTAAACATTAGCCGATCGTAACTTCATTGAAATCGTATGAAAGATTTACAAGACTGTCATACTATAAAAGTAAATTTGACAGTCTTAAAGTAAATTTGACAGTCTTAAAAGTGAAGCGGTAAATATAAATAAATATATACTACTAAAGATTCAGCAGAGGGCAACAAAAATGTCATTTAGAACAGCAAACCAGCCAACGATTTGCCAATGAATTCACGAAGAACTGTCAAATAAAAGTTTAATCCTGTGTAACTTAAAGGCTTACAAAATTCATGGAATCGATTGAATTTCTTGTAGCGATATTGAATTCACGCTGATCATGCTATGAATATTTGTGTATGATAGGGAGAGTAATGACATTCGAGGATATAATATCTATTACATCTATTACCTCAACACAATCTCCTTAAATCGTATCCATTGAATAATAGTAGGTAATAAGCACGTGTAATAAGGTGACTTTGGCAGAATATTATAAGATTAATCGACAGCAACACTTGTATATGAATTAACTTTAACGATACACGGATTGTATTAGTTTTCTTTCAATATAATAAAAGTCAAGAAATTCGTGAAAGGCGTTCGTGAAACATCGCGAGTCAAGTTATCAGTTCTTTTGATAAACTTTAATAGCAGCAAAAAATATTAATTTTTTCCAACTATACTTCAGAAGCCAAATAATAACTCGAGAACTTTAATCGAAAATTTCGACGAAAAATATAATAGTCATAAACATTCTAAATTTGCCAGCTTCTGACGCACAAACGAGTCACCCACAGCCAGCTTTGTGGTGGTGCCTTCAGGTGCAATGTCCTCAGTAACACTACATGTTACAGCACCCGAGTTAATAATCCAAAATAATAATAATAATATAATAAAAATCTAATGACGTATATCTCATGTGACAACGCGAGCTAAGACGTGCGTTCAGAGACCATCCCCTCTATGGCTCGATTGAAAGAATGTACTCATTGTCAAAGTATAATAAAATAGCTACCTCATTTTTTTGCAATTTCAAACTCGACAGATTAACAGGGATAAATAGACAGAAATCGCAGACGATTCACAATTCTGATGTATAATACCAGTTGAATAAACATTTCGGGAGGCATTTAGAGGTGCTAGAGTCATAGGTGGGTCTAACTTATGTAATGAAGTTGCAATCAGTAAACACAAGACATAAATGAACATCTTTAGTTCATCCAAAATTAAATAACGTACTTTAGTGTCATGGACACCAGCTAGCAGCTGTTATATAAGAGGAAAAAAGTTATCAAAACTTGACACTTATTATAGTAAAATTGGCGAGTGGGCAGCAAAGACGCGTGTTGACACAAATACATAGCGCACGATAGATGTTCATGCATTTAATAAAATTACTATATAATGACGATGATTAATATTAAACAATAGAAATTTAAGAGCTAAGGAAACTCCATAGAAATTCATCATATCTCCATTGAAAACGTTTCGGCGCCCACCACCATCGCCATTTTGTAAAATCTAGGACACAGATACAATCCGAAGTTAATACAGTCGAAAAAAAGAATAGAAGTTTTTGGTTTTTTGTCGTTTTCAGATTTCTGTTTTCCGAATGTCAACTTTCACCAGCCTAAGCACCAGACTTCTTAGCTATTGTTCCTTCGATTCAAATTGAACGGGCTTCAAACACTATTACAACGAGGCTTTCATATTTGTTCTACATATCATGCCATGCAAACTGAATTTTAATTAATGCGCAATATTTTCGCGCTTAGTGGATTTTCTTATAGCTTGGTGTTTACCCAAATGTTTCCGTTTTTTATTGGTGAATAATTTTAAAATGGGTTCTTTCTTTAGGAACAGAGGTATCCTCATTTCTATATGCGATCGTCCCTGGTTTATAAATGTAGTTGTGTACGATGAGCATCTGCGTACGTTGGAATCTTTATTCTAGAGTCGCAGAGCATAAAGGGAGAAGCTATAAGCCTGGGCAGTTACTATCGCGCTCTCCTCATCCGGCTGTGCACTTACGATGAACAGTGCAACGTTCCGGTGTCCGACAGTGACTTCAAGGTTTCAGCTTCTAGTTCTGGTGGTTTATTCATTTTAATTTCTTGCTCTGTCTTTTGTTTGTAAGTTTAGGTTTTAACGTCAATGTTTTTTCCATTTCAACTGTTTTAACTTCAGATTGTATCTGTGTTCCAAATTTTTCGAACTGACGATGAAGATGGACTCCCAAAAAGTTTTCAATAGAGATATGGTGAATTTGTGTAGAGTTTTCTTTGCTTGTAAATGTCTAGCGAATTTTCGATTGAAGCTATTTATTAACATTATTATTAAACAATGAGTGCCATATATTAGATTTTTTCCAGTGTTATTATTGGATGACGTTGAGACGATTAGTCGTACGAGAGCTAGTTATAATGATTAGCAATAGATTAGGTTGTTAAGATTCAATACTAGGTAATATATTGTACGCTCGCCATCTCACTATATATATGTGTGGCCAAATGACGCGCATTTTGTTGGTATTTTAATACAACATTAATAGCAGGCTCAGGGTGTGTCAATAAATAACAACGGGAATATACAGGGATATGACGAGTTTCACCACAGAAATGAATAAAAATTACTTTTATAGTTACCGATAATCAATCGAAGATCGAAGAGATTGGCTGTGAAGACTGAGTCTGAATGATTTAGAAGACGCTAAGTGAATGGAAAGTTTGTGTAATGACAAGCACAATCATTATGTCCTTTCACAATAAAAAAATTTGGCAGAACGAGTGTGTTCCAACAGTTGAAGTAACAGTTAAAGTAAAAGTAAGGTTGCTATAACGTATGTTGCTATGGAATAAATACTACCGTACAACAGCTATAAATAAATCAACAGAAACCCTAAATGAAAATAAACATGGAAAAACTTATCCAGCTCTAAGTTATCTGAATGAGAAATAAATAGCGAGAAGAATGATGATAAAGACGAAGACAAGCACTGCCCCGACGATGAAGCGGTGCTGGAGCGCGCGACGAAGCATGGCGCCCAGCACGCGGGAGCTGGTGTCTAGGTCTAGTTTACAGCCTGTGTGAAAATATTTTATTGTGACTGTTCAGGTCCTTGTCCAACTTGTGCAGCTGTGGAAACAAAGCTCTTGAATTCGATGAACAAATATATATTCCACACCATAGCCAAGCATTTATATATAAATGTATATGCTATATAATATACCCATATACATAAATTTTACAATGACTTCTTCTTACTGTATGTTTGAGCATATGCTAGACTAATGCAAAATAATGCAATATGTAACATCACTATCTGAAAGTGGCTCATGAATGCCTTGGAACTCACTCTACTTCTGGCGTTTTGTATGGTGCTGCGCTGATGGTGCAAGTCTCCAAGAATTTCTGCTCCAATGGCTTCAGTTTCCAATGCAACCTTCAAAACATAAATAATTAGAATAAAGCACAACTCTAGCAGTGTAAAGCTTGAATATTATATTAAAATAACAATAAGGATGAATTTAGACATTTAATGCAAATGTATTGACCAGCAAAAAATAAATACAAGAAAGTAATGGGATTTTTTGAGAAATACATCATGCACCAATCTTAAAAATATTTCGCCTATTTTACAGGAATATTCTAAATGTAGGAAGGAACAGTTTATTGGTGTGGGAAGCCTTATTTAATGATCTTGCAAGAAATTAAGATTTTCTATTAAGAGCCCTGCAAATTCCCCTTATCTTAAGATGCAATGACATGTAAAGTAAAATTAAAAAATGAAAGAAGAGTATAATTTTCAGTGTAGAAATTGAAGATAAACTGCATAAAAATGAATCACTAAATTAGTCATGTTAAAGTTTTTTTATATATCATTTTTGTATGGATTTAGTGCACTCCTGGGGTTCATCATGTTTCGATTTCTTTTGTTTTTAGACTGGATAAATGCTGGCAAACTATAAGATATCATTGTTCAAAGCTGATCCCCATGCCTTGGTTTTGGTCTCTTTACTGTTTATTACACTGTACATACTTTGTTATTTCTTGTTCTATTGATTCTGGATAAATTGTTAAATAAATACGAGGGAAAGGTCAAATAAAAATGTGGATAGGGATAGCTGTAGTGGAGGTAGATACCATCACTAAATCATGGTTTTCTTAAAACCTTCACAAAAAAAAAACACCCTCGGGACTACCACGTGTCTGACAGCACCTGATAGTTAGTATCCTGTAACATTATAAAAAACAATAGAGAGGTGGAGTTGAGGAAAAACTTTTTCTTGATTAAATTGACAAAGAAACATAGAAAGAGAACAAAATAAATTTGTAAACACCAACTGAAGTGCATTGAAAGGTAAAAAATACAATCAATATAGTAAAACCAAATTGGTTGGGAATTTTTTGAAAAAATTAAGGAACAACCTGGTAGCTTCTAGTGAGTCTGGCTGAAGTGATATCCAGTTTGTCGCTGTCTTGCAAGAGTTGCTCCCGCATTTCATCTGGCAGGCCTGCAGTGCCACTGTACATGACACCATCCCTGCCCCCACTCAATAGCTCAATTCGTTCAGTCTCTGGAATGAGGGAACAAGGTAAGCATGGTACCTACATACAGTGCCAGTTTATAGAACATGCAGAATAAATTTAATGTCAAGTGACAAATAGCACCCAGGATTCCTATTTAATAATTAAATTTGAAAAAGTTGAGAATTAACAAGGAAGCTTCTTTAAGGACAACTGACAATGAATAATGTTTAAAACTTGAAGTATTGAAAGTAGTGATATTCTATAATTTATATTACTACTCCCATTTATGTCAATGATTTTTAATAGCATAGAAAAAACTTCATTATGTGTGACTTGATACAATCCAGAACAAAATTGGCTATTCTAAATATTCAAAAGTTATTTCATGATATGGAAATTAAATAGTGAAAATCAAATAACATTAATCAATGAATAATGCTGCAGCAAAATTAAATAACTCTGTAATGAGCAAATTGGGGATGAAACAAAATGCTATAAAAAATTATGATTAATCTTACTTTCCCTTGCTCTGTTGTATTCTCCTCTGAGACGACTGAATTCCATTTTGTGACTCTGAACTCGAAGATTGTGCCTCTGCCTCTGAAGTTCATCTGTGCAGTCTCGTACTTCCATCTCCATGCGCTCAAGCTAAAGCAGAGGGTGATACAATATATTTTTGTTGCAAAATTATACTGTAAGAATAGGACTGGACAAAGAGGTGATGTAGAGAAAGGATTGCTCAGGCAAAAAGCCTTGGGTAATTAATGAATAATTTTAGTTTAAAACAAGAATATATTTATTATTTCAATGTTTTATCAGCAACATATGAATAACTTACCAAGTCTTTAGCTTCTTCTATTAATGACTCTAAATCAGGGATTGAAGTGCCCACCCTGCCTGTAAAACAGTATAAAAAAATTCTCCATCAGAATTGAAATAACTGACTGGATTCATTACTAAAGAGGCAAATTGTAGTTCAGAACTTAAATAAGCATTATCATCAGTTTAATGTTGTAATTTAAAAGAATTATTATATCTTCTTGTGTGATTTAATGAAAGCTGGACTTAACATAAAATTTTTGTAAATCCACAAAAAATTGAAATTTTATTATTAATTTTCAGGAAGTCCTATATCATTTTAAAAACTCTTTTTCAAGCTAAATAAGCAAGTCTGCAAGCACCAGTCTTGTCTGAATTAATTAAACCAAGTCCAAAGTGGAAAGTCTGGCAGAAGCCATCCATGGTAAAGCAATGCGGATGGCGGAAGTTGAAAATTTTATGAAATGACATGTTTGCGAAGTGCAAACCGCGATTTTTTAATCAAACAAAAATTTATGACATTCGAGCCGCGAGATTTCATACCTACTGAAATTATATGATATTAGAGCCGCTATATTTCAGACAAAAATAGGACTTTTCCAGACTAGCTGGTGTAAAACCATACAAGTTGCAAAAAATCCAAAATGAGAAATTGGCAGTCACCTGAGAATGAGATGAAAATGCTTATAGGCCTAGTTAGCACTTAGCCTACCTAGCCTAGTCAATTTCACCCATTCCTATAAGCTATACCTAACTCTTGAGTCTTGACTAATTTCTTCCTTAAAACGAAATAAAAATGGCATATTTTGGCTTGAAATTTTGTGAAAAATTAACTATCAAATGCTGTTTTCAACTAAAATTTTTTAAATGTTTGCCCAATCAAATCTTCCAGATGGCAGATTGGTCAAAATAATTTTTTTAATTATTACCAAAATCTTTGGCCTTGGGAAAAATGTTTAGTTGAAATAAATATTGAAATTGCATCTAATTATATTCCCTGGCTATATTTATATTGAATCTACTTGAAATGCATCAATATAAGACATAACATAGTAAACTTACTGGGGCTGCCGTTTGCCAGCAGACATATTTTTGACGTAATTTCAGCCGTAAGAGTGGCAAACTGTTGCTCATACTCGGGTAATAAATCCGTCATGACTGCAATCGCTCCGTTTTAAATCTTTTAGGCTTAAGCGTAACAAATCAGTTAAATTAATGAGCCCTATTTAGATCTGACAAAGAATCAAATCCACTAATCCACGAGTTGACTGGTAACATTAACTTAGTCGATGAAACTGCCAGCTGGATGTAAACGGAGGGTCCGACACCGGAAACTTTTCCGCGAAGTAGATCAACAGCGGAATCATTAATTTTTTTAATTCAATTTACTAAGATGTTAAAAATCAGTCCTCTAGACGTATTATATTTCTTTAAAGTTAAATTATTTGTAGAATACAGTGAGCAGATAACATAATGAAAATGCCGATAGTTGAAGTAGTTTAAAAGAAAAAATATTTAGCTTGACAAGTTAAAATATCCAACTTTAGCTGAATGAAAACATAAAGGAGGCGTTAAATGAGAAACCATATACGGAGTGAGGTCTGATTGTCGAGCTTCTTGATATTGATGTAAGCAAAACAAAACGCAAGACGCAATATTCGGGCCACGGGACAGCGCGTCATCGTCTGCAGGATTAAAGGCTTAAGCCCTGGGTCTAAGACAACTGCAATTTATTGCGTAGCGAGCGTCAGGGCCAAGCAACGATGCCCCGGAACAGAATTAATGACAGATGCGGATTTGAAAGGATCAATCAAGGCCGAAGCTTGACGTCGTTCGAGCAATGGCGATTGACGAAATAGACTTTCTTGGCGTTAAATTCGTAGTTAACTTTTGACTGGCAAGTTTGTTGTCCAAGTTGACAGTTGAGGCCGCGGTTGATGAACTATGCTAATGTATTCATCATCTATGTTGACGATTATTCTTATCATTGCACTTTCGTTAAGACGTGATTTAAACTTCAGTAAGTGATTACTAGATTTGATTTGACACTGTACGATGGTATCTACCAAACCTCAAAACCCAAACCTATCAACCTTCACCAAATTTACGCACGTTTTCAATATTTTAATAAAATGAGCTTATTCGTAAATTTTGCCTCTTCCGTCTTCACAGGCTGAATGACAATTCAGGGAAACGTTTTACGTGTCGTAAAAAATGTCCATCAGAATTGGAAATTGTTTTAAATCAGGGAATGTATTCTAACGGGAATTCATCATCAGTTTATCACTTCTTGGCAACGGTCTGAGATACGCAGACTATAAAACATATGAACTTATGGTCCAGAATGAGAATTGAAACACAGCACATTTTAATACCGATTAAGATAGTTTTGTTAAAGTAATTTTAGACTATATAAATGCGTACACGAAATTTCTAAGAGATTTTTATCGCAAGGAAACATATATTTCAGGGATATTTTCCTTGCAGAATAAGAGTAATGATGAATGCCGCCAAAATTGTACACGAAATACATATTAGTAACGAACATAATATGTTTAAATGCTGCCTCTCATGTGCAGCAGAAATTCAGCCGCAACGAAAAAGTCAACGCATTCTACAGCGAAGATTTAAATATCTAGGCATGCATCAATATGCTAGATAAATGGTTAATCCTGTTTGTCACTTGGATTAATCCTCCATTTTGAAAATGTTATCATAGACCTTGAAGAATAGGTATTCAGTTATAGTTGATTTTCAAATGAATTCAATTCATAACGAAAGTTTGTAATTTCCAGTTTATGACCCACTGCTTGCGCTACCTAGGTAGAGCAATACAAGATTGAATAGAATGTTGTTCTATTGATCTATACTTTAATCGTTGGCTCAAAATGAGCTCATTAAATAGAGTGAAATTAGATTAAGGTTTAATTAAAATCAGCCCAGTCATTCTATCTGGTCGGAGCAATTAGCAACCTGAATATTGCGAGGAATGTGCTGTCTGGCAACTGAGTGACAACGCTCATCTGGATTTTCTTTTGCCAGTTGAGTGATAGCCACGGAAGGGATCGCATGTGCGTCGTTCACTCTATCCGACAACTTCTGTATAGACAAATTCTAGCTATCAAGCAAGCGAACTCTAAATTATATGTGCTGCCATTATCAGATAACATTTAGTGACGTGGAACTCTACAGGAAAATAATATTTTCCTGTGACCTTGACAAAATTACTAGCTTTAGCTGGTTGACTTGGTATGAGGTAGGATAGACGTGTTTGAAACTTAGTTTCTTACCAAGTGTCTGATGCCCTAATCCTAATTTAATTGAAATTTGAAACTATGAAATTGTGTATGTATGAGAGGTGAAAAAATGAAGTGTCTTGAACTTGGCTCGTACCCATGTATGTAAAAAAACATTTAGAATTCAAATGTGTCGGCGAAAATTATACATATGTAGGAAAGAAAATTTTTGCATAAAAGTCGGCACGAGAACTGAAAAGTTTGTAGAATTTCCAGACTTTTCATTCCCTACCGTAGAGTGTACGTAAATACGTATGCATTGATATAAATATCGAAAGCACTCTGTAATGCATATTTAAACATCGAGTAAAATTCATATCTGGCATCATTTTGCTTATATACCTGTTCGAAATTCAGCAGTGAAATTCGATACGCAAAGGGTTGATGGGTAGCACGGATACCACTCATTCGCTGAATGATTATACCATTTTTGCTGGATGTTCCTACAGAATTTATTCCGCTAATCTCTGATTCATTCATCTTTGGACCATTAGTATATTGATCAGATGATAATAGATAACAACAATACAGACGCCTTAACCTACATTTGTCACTTCCAAGTTCCAACTGACTATTAATAAAACGGAGTATTATAGTACGTTGCCTGTATAGGAGTGGCAGATACCGATATAAAACCAAGGCTGGCTCGCAAAGTCATATGTAATTGTTACCAAAAGAAACAATATTTCTTTAATCGTATTCGAGATCCGCATATTAGCAAGTAAGAATAGGCCGATGAGCAGAGGCAGGCTTGAAATAAATCTGCAGGCATAAATAAATCTGTTTAAGCAAAATGTAATCAATGAGACCGTTTTATAAAGTTTAATTTACTGCAAACTTAAGTAAACTTGGAACTAAAAATATGTTTTTTGTGCATTTTTTCGGCAATAATTAAGATGATCTAATCATTCTTTTCACTTGGCAGAGGTTTGCGTTCAAGGTAGCCACGTATATAACTTGTCACTTCTTCTAGGCCATACTTTCAAAACAGGCTAAGTGAACGTAAGTACTTACGCTCTATTTTCTTGTCTATGATTGGTGGATCTTGCTTGAAAGGCCGTCAATGATTGGTTGATGAACTTACGATCTCTTAACTTTTTTGAAAGTATGGGCCCTGTTAGCGTTAGTCTTCATATGGAAATTAGTTGTCAGTTTCACTCAGTCAGAATATTTATTTAAGTTGTAGAGGGTAGATTAGTTGAAAAATTTTATTAAAAGAAGAATTCTGGTTGTTAGGCCTCACAATGTTGCACATTATACAACATTTATTGTATTTTTCCCCATTACACCATAATTTTACTGTTTGATCATAAATTTTAATAGTTTTCTAACTACATCTGATTTCGTAATAATTTTTCTCTCCAGTGACTCAGAAGTTTACGAGTGAATAAATTAAAATTTCTATTGAAATTGTTCTTCACAATTGAATGTCTCAATTCTTAACTCTATCTTGCGGTGATCCTTGATGAATCAAGACCAAAATTTTATTTTATTAGAAATCAAGACAAGTAATTCCGGCAGCTGATCATCGCTGGCTACGGTAAGACGCGAGTTAAGACCCTTTGGTCATTGATTATAGTAATTTAGTCGAGACAAAGCTTAGGTAATTATAGAATAGTTTTTGTGTTTACAATTATGAAAATTTAATTCAGTGAAATACTTGTTCTAGTTTGTATAGATCNGACGCGTTTTTTCCAGGCTAGAGCAAGTAATTTCACAGAGCCTGCCTCCGTCGCGCGGGTGCGGCTCAAGCAGAAACGCTACCAGCCCTCTGCTGTACACACAGATACCATAGCTTAAAGATAACGTTTTCTTTAGCTGCGATACGTATAATGTTTCATTTTTATTTCTAATGGATGGTATAAGCAATCGGGGATACTGGCATGTTTTTTTTACGAGAGTGGTTTCCTTAGTGTCATACGGTTAGCGTTTCACTTCGTTTCTGATTGATAATTTTAGCGGTCGGAGATGCAGACACGAGAGTTTGAAAAAAAAATATTTTCTTTAGCTTCGATGCGGATAGCGTTTAATTTCGTTGCTGATAGATAGTTCAAAAACTCGAGGATACAGAAAATAGCTAGAAAAAAATGTTTTCCAATTCTTTACGGTACGGATACACTATGTGAAATGAGTGCGATTTTCCAAAATAGCGGTGCAATTTTTGTCTTTGTATGGGTCATCCATACCTATTTTGGCTAGGCAAAAATGGTGTTTCAGTGCTATGTGTAGAGAGTGTGTCACTATTCGGACAATACTACCCATTCATTCCCATGGGTGTAGTGTTTTAATTCTTTACTGCTTGATAATTTGCTCAAGATTATCGTTATCAGAGGCGATATGTTGTGTCAACACGCATAGTCTCTCGGTTAAATAAATATGGATAAATTCAATACAAGCAGTTTTAGCTTCAATTCCTCGTGAGAAATTTTAATACGAATATATAACTTTGAATGGCTTGTATAATTTGCCAGTTGCAAAATCTGTAGACGTCATAATATATAACATTTAATTATTGAAAGAAATTTGCAATAATGTCTTCTTAGTTTAAGAGAGTGTGTGATTGATTGAACAGCAGGAGCCTTTGATACGCCAAGCGTATATGGAACTTTTGAACACTTTTAACCTATATAAGATACTTAGTGCAGATCTTCGACATTGCACTTCTGTCAAAACAATCAACCTTGCATGTCCCTGAGTACATATTCAGAACATGAAAACTCAGAATATCATATCGTTTAAATTGCGACACTTTCTGCACGTAGCATCGCAACGCTCTTTTTCTTAAGATTACCCACAGATGGGCAATAAGTTCATCGTTATATAGAAAAAGTCGCATTTATGTCTTTGGGTGTATACTCAAATAAAAAGTCGTCAACTGAGCTTGGTTTTGGGAATAATTGTTAGTCTTTTTTAAGCCGCGAGAGAAGTCTGTATAGTTATAATTTTGGTATCAAACAGTAAAATAGATAGGTATTTATTACTTTCTATATTACTTTCCATATTACTTATTAT